AAGCGGATCGATGATTTACCCAAGCGGATCGATGACACTACCGAAGCGGATCGATGATCTTCCAAAGGGGATCGACGACAGCCTAAGCGGATCTAAAATCGTGCTTACGTCTTAGTATGCAGCTTATGACAGTGAGTACAAGTATTGCACTGTTGTGATCGACTTGCCTTCAGAGCTGGTGGAGCTATCGACAGCGCAGTACGCTCGCGAAGCAGTTCTTGTCTGGGGCTCCAAACAGGAAGCCCATACGAACTACATGTATGCTAAAAAGTACCAACGCTTGTCAAAATATGCAAATCGATCCCAAGAGCATACTTCTGTACCAGCAGCCCGTTTTTGGTTTTTGTACGGCTAATATAGGAATTTGTATGTAGCCCCGCAGCAGTTAGCGTAGCGGCCCGCTGTCGATATCACCTCCCAAGTGTGCATCATATTGGCTACGATTGGGAGAATGCACATGTATATTGATGTCGCTCTCACACAAAACACTGCTGCATACATGTACACTGCAGCGGCCCATTGCTGTGTCATTGCTGGCCAAGGGCAGACATCCGCTCGAACCAAGTCAATGCCCACCACCTGGCGGGAACCGCTTTGCGTATTTTGAGTGGGAATGTGCAGTCATCCATTGCAACGCTCGCAAGACCATTACGTACTGTACAGCTACGACGGCAGCAAGATTTGCATGGCACGCGCAAAGCATAGTGTACACTATACATTACAGTTCGTTGTAGCGAGCCATTACATTTTTGGACTCATCCACTGTGACCAATGTCCCTTGTCCCCGTGCGAAGCTGAGCTCAAGGTAGAGAGCAACCTGGCCATTCGGCAGTGCTTGTCCAACGTTAACCCCAGGAGCTGGTTACCGAATTTGTTTTGTAGAGGGATACACCCACGTATGGGATACAGGATAGTATTAGCCAATCACAATTGCGTCTTCAGATTGACAGGGCTTGACTTGTTGAGGAATACACCAGTTTCAAGCCAGTAATTTTTGCACTCTCGGCCGCTCAGCGCGCGATCATTTCTGCAACGGCGCGGGCGCCACCAAGTCACCCTCGCCTGTCTGGAGGTCAAGGCAGGTGGAAAACGACGCGGGCCCTACCATTTTACACTGCTGCAATGAAGAAGGCTATGGTCGAGCACCTGAGACTACACTGCAATGTTTGTTTCGCTGAAGATACGTTCTTTCCGGGTCTACCTACAGAAAAGTATCAAGGGGGAAGAGTGGTGGTGGGGGTGCTCTGTCGGCGGCAGGAACAAACGCAAAGCTTGCTCTACTGAACTTCGATCTCAAGTTGGGGTGGTGGCGGCGAACAAGCTGATAATAAGTTGGGCTGTGTCGGCAGCCGCATTGGTGAGATTCGGCTTTGAGAGACTTGAGGTAGAGTGCTCAGTTTAGTAATTTTGATAAATACATCTGGGCGTCTGGTGCCGATTCGTTTTTTTTAACAAAATCGGGCGTCTGGTATTTTAGCTCCGGTAGGGTGTATCCCTCTACAAAACAAATTCGGTAGACGGACGGATCCGGACCTCTGGAATGAACCAGAGTATCGAGAAGAGCCCCCGCGTGAAGATCAGGGTTCACCAGCAGAACGAGACACCGTCAAGAACAAGAAAGAGAAAGATGTAGAAGAAGAAAAAAACAGTAAGACCACCACCAGGATTTTAATGGCCAAGGCCAAATAAAGTCACTTACTACTACATTTTTGGACTCAATTTCCGGTTATCGCATGTGTACAGTGTGCACATCGGCACTCTAACTCCGAAAAACGTGTCGTGCCAATCCCAGTTCCGAATCAATGGAAAAACAAGGCGAACGCTAGTCGACCCCACCGAGAAATTCCGTCGATGCTGCACAGCTTTGTTGCATCAAGCAAGCGACGCGCTTTCTCCTGTCCTCGCTACTCTACTGTATCACTCTCGCTTTTGCCGTCCGACCGCCAACTTCCGACACCTTCGTCTTCCAATGGTCTCTTCCTTCGCGTCGACCCTCGCCGTGGCTTCGGCCCTATCCAGTATGGCGATGCTCGCCCCCACTGCCGACGCTCACCAGATCGTGCTGCTACCGGAGCCTCAATGGACAACCAATGACAAGGAAACTAAGTACAACCCGCTCGCCTTCCTTGAAAACCAGGGTTTCAAGACCCAGGAGGACTTCACCGCCTGGCGCAAGGAGAACGGCTACAAGTCGCTGCGTGATTTCATGGACAGGGCCAAGTACGACGTCACCAGCGGCGCCGACTTCTCCTGTGGCTTCACCGACCCCAAGGGCACCCCTCAGCCCATTCCGGAAGGTAACAAGATGCGCTCTACCGGCTACACCCACGACGGCCCGTGCGAGGTGTGGCTCGACGACACGATGGTGCTGGATGGCGACAACTGCCACGAGAAGTTCCCGGGCAAGGACTACACGGTGGACTACTCATCGTGCAAGGGCACGTGCACGCTTCGCTGGTACTGGCTGGGAGTGCGTTTCTTGAAGAATGACTACTCGTGGCAGGTGTACAAGGCTTGCATCCCGCTGACGTCGGGATCAATGGCGTCGACTGGATCGCAGAAGAATCTGCGTGACTGAGTTCGGCGTTAGAATTATACTTGAGTTAAGTGGCACCCCAGTTTCCAATTCAATGGTATGTTGTTCGCGTAAGATTTCCCACTCAACCGACGCAGTTGCTGGAATGTCGGCGTGGCCACATTGCATCACCTTCTTATCGTCTGTGACAAATATCACAGTGGATTGGAGCATAGTGGCCTCCTACGTGTGCCAAACGGAAAGCGCGAGACCAAGAAGACATGATGGGATGGTAAAGCTAGGTAGTACTCTGTTACAGTAATTGGCAGATTCCGGACCGGAATCCGGAAACCTGTCAAACCTGCAACAGAGACACATTGGCGAAACATAAAAACACTCACGCCAATCAGCGTCCACTTATTCATTCCGGACGGCGATGTCTATTGTAATTTTTTACCTTACTTTTCTAATGCCAGTTTTCTTCAGCACGCAGGGCGGATGGCGGGCGGCACGGATTGCAGGGCGGAGAACTGGGCGTTGGGGCGGGGCAATTGTGGAACAGGCACGCCGCGATGTCGGTAATGCGGGTAGTCTACAGCTACGTCCGCCATGCGAGGAGGAGCAGGGCAGGTCACGGTGCGCTCCATCTACGTGAGGCACTCCCTAAGATCAGCCCCCACTACGCTTTTTGACAAAACTTTAGTCCGACACAAATTACATATTAACCCTTTCACTACCAGACATTTCTTTGCAGGTCCGGTGCGGACCTATTAGTTGACCAATGAGAGGACAGAATTTCAAATTAATCAACCAATCGTGGGACCACTAGCGGCCACGTTAAGCGGACACCATATTTGTCCGGCTTCGACGGCATATACGTCTTGGCTCCGGAGCGGGCCTTTGTTCGCACTGTGAGCTCGTCCAAGGTTACTGCACCCACCGGCACAGCAATAGCAGCGAACTTCTGTTGCACTTGGGTCAACACGCGTCTGCTGTGCCACACCGGGTCCTGCTCTTGGCGCTGCATGGGCACACTGTCAGGGGCATGCACTTGGAAACGAGCTCGGATACTTTCAAAGCGATTGCGTGCCATAGTCTTTGCGAAATCAGCTTGACCTAGGAAAAGCTTTTAAGACCAAAGCTCTTTGATCTCAGTTAGAGGTATGATACTCATAGCAATTTTCTAAGCCGATATAAGCATCAATCTCAAACACTGTGGCCTCATCCTTGCCTTGCTCCTTCAGCATTGTGTTGGTCCAGGTCTGCAAGGAGTCACGGAATTCACGAGTGAAGAAAAGAGAAAACAATCCTAGCTCACCGCGCTCTTTGAATGCTAACTTGACTTCTCCATCTCGGATAATATGAAGCCCGCTCTCACGAATTAGCCCGTCAACATAGGCGTTGCCGGTGAGTTTACGCAGAGCAGCTGAAGTCACCTCGGCAGCCACCGACACACAATCCGCGTCGGATTCTGTCGTCTCCTCGTCTTCTGAAGTTGCTGTTTCGACCTCGCTGTCCTCCTCCTCGTTCTCAGAGTCCTCGAACTCCCATTCCGCAGAGCCATCATCCTCGCTGAGCAGCTCGTGTATCTCCATTGTTGTTCTGCACGAAAGTAGCAAAATGACAGTAAGAATACAAGTAGGGATGCAACCGCCGAAAGCCGAGCTATTTTGGCGCACGGACTCATCTAACGCTACACGCATGAGAGATTCCTCGGCCATGCTGCTCCTGTTTTCAGTGCTGCTGCTTCTTGTTCTTCAGTGCTGGAAGTTCGCCTCCTCCCTCTCCATTTCAGCCAATGGGTGTGACGAGGACACGGGGGCAGATAAATGGCTTATTTGTACCGGTGGCTAGGGCAATAACAACGGTTATACGTGCGCACGACGGAGACCGCGTCCGGACCCCGGTTATGATAATGGGTTTTGTACGGCTAATATAGGAATTTGTATGTAGCCCCGCTGCAGTTAGCGTAGCGGCCCGCTGTCGATATCACCTCCCAAGTGTGCATCATATTGGCTACGATTGGGAGAATGCACATGTATATTGATGTCGCTCTCACACAAAACACTGCTGCATACATGTACACTGCAGCGGCCCATTGCTGTGTCATTGCTGGCCAAGGGCAGACATCCGCTCGAACCAAGTCGATGCCCACCACCTGGCGAGTAACCGCTTTGCGTATTTTGAGTGGGAATGTGCAGTCGTCCATTGCAACGCTCGCAAGACCATTACGTACTGTACAGCTACGACGGCAGCAAGATTTGCATGGCACGCGCAAAGCATAGTGTACACTATACATTACAGTTCGTTGTTAGCGAGCCATTACATTTTTGGACTCATCCACTGTGACCAATGTCCCTTGTCCCCGTGCGAAGCTGAGCTCAAGGTAGAGAGCAACCTGGCCATTCGGCAGTGCTTGTCCAACGTTAACCCCAGGAGCTGGTATCAATGCTTGGCTCTCGAGGCGCGTGATGTCGGCTGGAGTCAATACAATTCTAAACTCTACAGTAGTAGACGTAAAAGAAATACTCGTTGCGTACAGTAGCCTTAGATACCAAAAAGGATGTTTTACAGTAACCGCTTTGCACTATGAATGCTACAAAACTGCTACGTAGGATTGAGCGAATGCCGATGTATGCGTAGGTGTACGGCATTGTTTGATTGCGATCCCAAAGGGGTCACAATACTGCAGTGTACAGTACTGAACTGTACACCGCAAAGATTACAGTATTTTTATGTTCTCTCCAAGTGTTTACAGATCGCAATCGCATTCCGGAATAGCCAAGCGCTGCCATCATCAAGCTGCTGGCGGGGTGGAGAACACTAAATCTACAGTACAAGACTTCAACAACGATACGACCGAGACATACCACCGCAAAAGTAGTCATGGCCACTTTCCTTTTACCGTCGGTCTGAACACTTCTCCATCGCTCTTATGGTTTCGTCGCTAGTGTGAACCCTCGCCGTGGCTTCGGCCCTCTCCAGCATGGCGCTGCCGGCCCCAACCGCTGATGCTCACCAGATCGTGCTGCTACCGGAGCCTCAATGGACAACCAATGACAAGGTCACAAAGTACAACCCGCTCGCCTTCCTTGAAAACCAGGGTTTCAAGACCCAGGAGGACTTCGCTGCCTGGCGCAAGGAGAACGGCTACCAGACGCTGCGTGACTTCATGGACAAGGCCAAGTACGACGTCACCAGCGGCGCCGACTTCTCCTGCGGCTTCACCGACCCCAAGGGCACCCCTCAGCCCATTCCGGAAGGTAACAAGATGCGCTCCACGGGATACACCCACGACGGTGTGGCTCGACGACACGATGGTGCTGGATGGCGACAACTGCCACGAGAAGTTCCCGGGCAAGGACTACACGGTCGACTACTCGTCGTGTAAGGGCTCGTGCACGCTTCGCTGGTACTGGATGGGATGAAGAACTCGTACTCGTGGAAGGTGTACAAGGCCTGCATCCCGCTGTCCGGGTCTGGAGGCACTTCGCAGGAGTCTACCCGTACGCCGAACGCGCCGAGTAACTCATCGGCGACTACGGCGCCCAACACGTTTGGGTTCGGGTCGCCTGCCACGCAAAACCCGACGTCATCGACTGAAAAGCCGAAGGACGAAAAGCCGAAGGATGATAACAACTAGGACATTCATCGGGTTGTGCCACGACACGCATCCCTCGACCCCGACAATGGCGACGGGATCTACCGCGTCATCGGTAACGCAGAAGAATCTTCGTGACTAAGGCCAAGCGCTTCGTCACATTGCACACGTTAAGAAAACAAACATCGCCGTTTCCGTTTCTACATGTAGACCTCCACGTGCGGAGAAAATTCAATTGAGAAATGATCAACTTCCAAAGGATGTACACAAACATGACCCTTACTTACTAAGTTTCAGTGGTCCTTACCCCCAATTCGATCGATCCTGCTTTTTGTGTTGGCAATCTTTTGCCAATACACTTTGGTAAGGTAAGAATACACTAATACTTCTACTACAGTACCAGTAACTGTTTTAAGGCAATGATGAATTCTGGTGCAATTCAGTATCAAACGGACAAGCAACACCAGGACTGTACATATATTTGACGTGACTAGACTGAACATGGAGTAATCCTCGTCGTTTCAAAGCAGAGAAGAGTTTCCATCTTTTCCTTCTCTAAATCCAGCCGCGATTACTTGCGCAGGCTACGCTGCCCCCACGTGGTAGGCGCTCCCCAGGTCGCCCCGACGTCGGCGTTTGCGCTGCCGGTGACCCAAACCCAAACGACGGGGGTGCAGTAGTTGTCGGCGTCGAAGGCGCGTCGGTAGTTCGAGCTGCCGGTGACCCAAACGAAGTCGGCGCGTCCGTCGCAGGCGTCGCCTGGTTCGAGGTGTTAGATCCCGTCTCCGTGGACGGCGTCGACTGCTGCGAAGTGCCAGATCCGCCAGTCTCCGTCGAGGGCGTCGAGCCTCCTCCAGATCCGGACAAGGGGATGCACTCCTTGTACACCTGCCACGAGTACCGTGTAGTCCTTGCCCGGGAACTTCTCGTGGCAGTTGTCGCCCTCCAGCACCTTCGTGTCGTCGAGCCACACCTCGCACGGGCCGTCGTGCGTGTAACCCGTCGAACGCATGGCGTCGCCCGCCGGAATGGGCTGAGGGGTACCCTTGGGGTCGGTGAAGCCGCAGGAGAAGTCGGCTCCACTCGTCACTGTGTACTTAGCCTTGTCCATGAAGTCACGCAGCGACTTGTAGCCGTTCTTGTCACGCCACGAGGCGAAGTCCTCCTGCGTCTCGAAGCCCTGGTTCTCGAGGAAGGCCAACGGGTTGTACTTGGTGTCCTTGTCGCTGGTCGTTCATTGGGGCTCCGACAGCAGCACGATCTGGTGGGCATCGGCGGTTGGGGCCAGCATCGCCATACTGGAGAGGGCCGAAGCCACAGCGAGGGTCTGCGTGATCGAGTAGACCATTGCGAACGGCGAGAGAGTGTGGTGATTGTCGGACGAACGGCAAAATGGGAAGTGGTTGCGGCTACGATACTGTTGCCTGTAGCCTACAGGGGCCATGTTGTGGCTCGCCGCGAACGGGGTTTCTCAATGGGGCGGACCAATACCCCTCACTCAGTCAAAGTGAGATTGGCACACAGTTTCCTTGAACGAACGGCGGACGATCGCATATGTCGGTGACACTTTAGGGCAGCTTGGGATTGTATAGGTATGCCGTAAAAGCCAAGTTTGTTTCTTTGGATGATACACTTGTTCGACGTGGAAGTTCTTGGAGGGATCTCGCAGCGGATAGTCTAATGCATACCTTTCCCCGCCTAGATGCCGTGTCAAGCCATCACAGGACGTGATCCTCAATTTCATTGTAAAGCTGATAATTTTGATTTTATTTGGTCTTGTTGTACTTAGTAACAGTAGTTAGTTAGTTAGTACGTACCGGTAGGCATTTTTACAGCTAGAAGAGTTTCTGATCGCCGCTAATGGTGGTTCTATTGAAAATAAGCTGACTTTAAAAGGAATTGACATTAATCCACGATCGACTTCGCCATCATGCTTGACAAACACACAGTGTTTCTCAGCGGTCCACTTCAGGAAGCTATATTTTGGTGTGCTTGAGGCTCTACCTCGTAGGAATGATCATTGTGGAAGCTGGTTTGAATAGTACAAGTACGACTTGAACGTTGTTGAGTCCCCGTCCTCACGCGATCAATTAAAAAACAATCGCATTATCTGACTTGTGGATACCTCGACAAATAGAACTCAAACCGAGTAGGTGATCTATTGCGAAATTCGTTGTTGTATTTGTGCCCACTCAGTGATTTGGCTCGTTGCAAAGTGAAATGGTGGGGAAAGCAACAAAGCAACGGAGATTTGATATTTCCGAAGTCACTCAGTATTTTACGACTATACTCGGTTCTAATCGAGTGCATGGCACACACAAAGTCGCTTAATCTCTTCGGGTAGACTACTTAGACTCACTTATTTAAGATGCTAAACACTGTCGCGTCATTATCACCCCTCCTGCACCTACTCCTTCGATGTCGCGACGGATGCGGAACATGCTGCGGATGAGGACCGCAACGCTTGCGGTCACGCTTCTTCGCATCGAAGCTCGCGGCAGGCTAGCAGCAGACGCACGCCGTGCAGGCTGGGCTTCATTGAGCTGAATTAACCAGGCAACTGTCGACTGCTTCTTCGAGCTCCACTGTATGCATGCATGTCGTTTGTTAGTTAACCAGGCTACTTAAGTACACAAGTGGACTCGGCGCCACTGCCGGTGATGTCGAGACCGGCGCCAAGTAAGGCCAGAAGTGTCCAGTTTGACCGACAAGTACAGCGTGCTGGGTGGTTGCGAAGTCATTGAGCATTTTCCCAGGTCTATTGTGAAATTTCCGATATAGCGCCAAACTACCGATTAGATCAATCCTACGCCCCGAGCTAAGCTATTCGGGCTTGCTAAAGTATTTAACGAAGATCACCTTCAATAGCGAGTAGCTAATCTCGGTTGGAACGACCTCAGTCTTCGACAAGTGTATCGTAGCAAAATCGTGTAGTGCTAAGAGTCTGATAGAGCGCTGACAAACTCGTTTTAAGGTCTAATGTAAATCGAGAACAATGCACATATGTTCGAAGTGAAAACCCTAGACCATGTCAAAGAGCTCACTTTCCGGCTGGCGTCAAGATTTCTCCTCCGGAACGATTTTACGGACCACATAACAGCAAAATTGAACATGTATAATACCAGGAAGGCCTTAGTAAGGTCACCTTACACAGAGTTGAGGGGCATCTTCACACCTTCGCTGAAAAGGCAGCTTCAGGCTGCTGGTGTAAGTGGGAAAGCGCATTTATTTGTTTTAGACTCGGGAACCCTCACGCCAGGTTCCTTGTGCTCTTAGCACATACACCACTTGTTTCATTTTTCCTTGGCAATCCCTACTCCGCCACAAGTGAGCCGAACGGATACTCGCCCGTCGCCAGGGTGAACGTAGCGCACAGCCGCTGACTCGTTGTACACGTCGCAGTCCGTTTTCCGGCTTGATCGCGATCACGTAGGCCGTATCCTCCGCCACCAGCTTCAGACCCTGTCCGATCTGAGTCGGCCGACGTCAGCGTGAAGTCCACCGTCTGCGACCCGCCCGCCTCCAGACTGATCTTCGTGAACTTCTTCAGCTGTTTTTACTTCCGGCACGGAGATGGATCGGTACTGTTAGGTGAGGAACAGCATTACCGTCTCCTTGCCAGCTAAAGTACCCGACAGCGACTGGGAGCTTGACGTCACGTTAGTCGTGCTCAGGGTCAGGTTCGAGTACGTGAAGTCGGTGTAACTGAGCCCCGTGCCAAAGTCCCATTACATCTCGCACACTCGCACTCTTTCGTCACGCGGTGGCGATACAGGATCATCACGTTGCCCGTGGCTTTGGGGTACGTGATCGGCAAGCGGCCACTCGGATTCACCTCGCCGAACAGGATTTCCACCGTAGTCTGGCCTCCGACCTCACAGAGGAGCAGACCATCGATCACCACAAACTCGTTTTGCGGCAGGTTCTGCAGCAACCGTGGAACAGCACGAGGACGACTTTGGTGCCGGTCGCCGCAAGTGCGTCCACGTACTCGATCTGGCCAAGAGGCAACGTCAAGTCGTCAATGTCGCCGCTCTTCTCCTCTTAGGTCGCCTCACCGATGACAACGACCGTGTATTCCGCCTTGCTGGCGTACTCTTTGGCGGCCTCTAGGTCCTCGTCCGTGTAGCCGCCCGTGATGTTGAGTCCTTGGAAATACCGTGTCGGACAGCAGCGCGTTGCCGTGAAGTGCGTCGATGCCATAGATCATGGGGTGCCCGTCGTTCTCCTCCATGCGACCTCCTGGATTCGAGTGACGAACGCGCGCATTTGCGCAGTCGTCCAGCCCCACGCGCCATCCACTTCGCCGTAGTTGATCATAGGATCACTCAGGTATGAGCCAACGTGCAGCTTGGCGTACTAGTACTCGCGCGTCGCGCCTTCATCCAGTTGGTACGTCGAGTTGACGATTCCGTACGCCGCGATCTGCGTCATCTGGCCAACGATGTCGAGGGTGGTGAAGTTGGCCATGATGGCGTCCACATGGCTGTCCCATTCGTCAGCAGCGACAAAGGCACTGCCATGAAGAGAGGCAAGGAACGCCCCAGCTAGCCACGGCTTGAGCATCTTGGAGGTTCTTGGACCGTTGGAGAGGAGCTTGAAAGGCAGCAAACGAAACTCAAAAGTGAGCGTCATGGTGAGGTAAGTTCGAGGCTCGAGCTCTTGCACGTCTGTCGACTATCGAAGGGAATGCTGCAGTGCTTTAAGGAAGTAGCAACGGATCACCGCGTGTCTTGTCTTGGGTCGGTTCGACTGGTGGGCCATCTTCTTCTCAGCGCAGAGAGGAATCGGCACGACGCAGTCATGTGATGACATCCATGGTTTGTCATCCACGTGCAGTTATCGCGTTCCTAGTTGCAGTTGAAGACGATCGCTCTCAGTCTATCATACAATCAAGGCACATCTTTGCTGTGGCCGTCGTACCGACAGAGTGTGTTGAACTGCTACTATCCATCCACTGCATGAATTGGCTCGACGACTTCTCAGTCAAAGCCAGCAGCTTCCGTTTATTATGGAGACCCAGCAAAAATTGAGGTGGTTGATGACCCGTCACATTTGCTCCATGTGAGCTTCATTCCCCGGCGTCCCTTATTCCTGCGTCTGCGGCTTCTTGATCTCCTTCTTGATGCGCAGCTTCTCGTGTTTAATCTCGGCCATCAGCTGCTCGTACATGGTGGGGTCGATCTGGTCCTTCTGCGCCATGAAGTTGCCCTCCACCTCACGCAGCGACTCGAGGCGGTCCTGCATCTCCTCGCGTGTCAGGCGCTTGGGCTCGTTCGTCTCCGCAGCAGCGTCCGCGTCCGCATCCAGCACGCCGCAGTTGATGATCTTGACCTGAGCCGAAGGCTTGCCCGAGCGCCTTCCGCAGCTCGAGATGATGTCCACGACGTCCATACCCTCCAGCACGCGTCCAAACACGACGTGCTTGCCGTCCAGCCACGGCGTGTCACCCGTGCAAATGAAGAACTGGCTGCCGTTCGTGTTGGGGCCAGCGTTCGCCATACTCAGCGTGCCGGGGCCAGCGTGGGGGACGCTGAGGTCCTCATCGTCGAAGCGACGGCCGTAAATTGACTCGCCTCCGCGTCCATTGTGCTGCGTGAAATCTCCACCCTGAATCCTGTTCCACCAGCCACAGCAGCACTTCGTCAGCTTCAACCTTACAAAACTAAAGTCAAAGTCTCCCACTGCGGCCGTACATGAAGCCGGGGATGATGCGGTGGAAGCTCGAGCCCTTGTACCACAGCGGCGGGCCGGCCCGCGACTCGCCCTTCTCGCCCGTGCACAGAGCCCGGAAGTTCTCCACCGTGCGCGGCTGCACTTCTCCGTAGAGCCCCATGACGATCTTGCCCACGTAGTCGTCGTTGATGCCGATGTCGAAGAACACCTTGTCCGTCACGATCAGCTGTGCAACAACAAAAAATAAATAAAATAACACCATAATTCAGTCTCGCAACCCTCAGCACCTCCACCTATAAGCTATCAGCAGCTGGCCCACCTCGCCCTTGTACTGGGCGCCTCCAGCGACGGTGTTGACGCCCGTGAGCTCCTCCAGCGACGGGAAGGGGCCGAAAAAGTAGCCAATGGCGTAGCCACCGCCGAACATGGCGGCCAGGCCCAGCGACGCCTTCTGCAGCGACGTGAGGCCCGCGGGGGCGCCGCTGTTGCCAGCGCTGGAGCTGAGCGCCGCCGTCTGCAGTAAGAAGAGTGCAATTTGTTAGTGATCTTGGCTTTTAGACGATGGATTTCGTGCGTTTTAAGGCGGTTGAAGCCGGGAAAAAGCGGTGAGAGGGCGGGGTGACTACCTTGCGGAGCATCGGGGCGCGCAGCGAGCGCTGCGAGTGCAGCAGGAGCTGCGTAGGGCGCAGCAGCAGAGACGTCATGGCGGCGCGTCGAAGCTCGACAAAACTGAGCCACAAAAATGAAAAGCACAAAACTTGCTAATCAAATGCAAAATGCTCTCCAAGTGTTTGTGGTGGACACTTGGGGAGCATTTTTAATTTGTCTTACAGCACGGCGATACGGGGGGCGGAAATCGAGAATGATGAGCGTAAGCACTCGAATTGGCCCGATCCCCCGATCCGAAAGGGCGTAACGGCCACGGTCTCCGTCGCGCTTGCTTGTTGCCTTTAAAAAGGCAACAAGCAAGCGCGTAAAAAGCCGGTAGACCCTCGTCTTCCTTTAGCTCGTCTGATCACCCCACCGCCGATCCATTGCGCCCGCCACGCTGTTCCGCCGCAGTCTCTCGCCGTACGTGTTGATGACCCCGGCAGCTCTGGACGACGACGAGCTGCGGCCGCCGTCCGTCATCGCAAATGGCACACAGCAGCAGCAGCAGCACAACTCGGACGAGGACAAGGACACAGCGGCTGCCAGTAAGTTCGTCGGCGACGACAATGACCAAGCGCTGCCTCCGAGTCCGCGTGGGAGCGCCGCTGCTCCAGCCGCTGAGCCGGGCGTCCGCGTCGTTGCGGAGCTGCTGCGAGCCCCGACAGCTGAAGCCCGCAAGAGCCACCTCGCCATGTCACTCGGGGTGCTGATGCTCTCGGTGTCACTCGGTGCGAGCGCGCTGTGCTTCAGCGACGAGATCTTCGAGGCCACGGGCATTCAGAGCGGCCTCTTGCTCGGGTCCGCCGGCTCGCTCTCCATGTGTGCGGTGGTCATTGGCGCGTACCTGAGGAGGAAGTGGTACAGACGCCACATGCACATTCTGCTCCTGAACCTGGCGCTGTGCGACTTTTGCCTTTCGATCTCATTCCTACTGGAGCCGGCGTGGAATCGACTGGGCGCGGGGGTTGGGAGTGAATACTCGTGTCGATGGGTACGTGGGGCTGATGCGGGGGTATAGCAATGGAAAACATATAAATCTAACAGAAATTTCTCCGAGGACAGCTTTCGACGGCTCGCGAGTATTTGATTATGTGCTCAAGTGCGTGGACGACCTGCACCGCGCTAGACTTGTACTACTTGGTATGCTTTTTTTTATTATGTATTCGTCCTGGTTTACACTTCTCACCGATTTGTTTTACTAGATGACCAATCCGTTCACGTCGCCACGACTCAATCGTCACAAGTACCAGGGTATCGCCCACGTGACAGCGTTCACGAGTGCAGTGGTGATGGGAGTGTCCAACAGCTTTGGATCTCCGGTGGCGGTGGGGAGTTTTTGCTGGGTAGGCGCCGACACGCAGGCACGGAGCGATCATATCAGCTACAAACAGCCCAGCGGGTCCACAACAGGCATCTGGGTCTTTATCGTCACGCCAGCGACCATTTTAATGATCGCCAACTTGTACGTGACGCTGGTTTCCTACGGCCGGTTCCGGCGAGGCGTATCCGCCACTCTGCGCAACCGCAGGGTATTGTTACGGGAGGGTTTTTTAACGACGGTGACTCTCATCGCGTACTCAGCACTGCTGTGGGGGGTATATGGAGCGTATTGGCTCACTCCTTACGCTGTACAGGCTCGAAGACTCTCTCAACTCTTTGCTTTCCTGCTATCGTATCGTGGTAGCGTCCCGTTCATCCTTTGGTGTCTGTACAAGCGCCCACAACGGAAGAAAAGAAAGTCCAAGACTGGAGTTGTGGTGGATGGCAACACAATAAATGGCAAGTCTCAATCGCAAGTTTTCAAGGACGAGGATGAGGCTGAAAATGAGGACGACGACGCTGTTCGGCCGCAAATGAACCTAGCGCTGCTGGATGAGCTGGTGTTTTATACAACCCACGGTATCGCGAAGGCTGTACGGATAACCAGCACATTGGGACAGTATCCCCCGCCGTCAGTATCGTCACTAACCTCTTCACGAGGCGAACAGCCAGAGCAGCAAACTGACCGTTCCCCCGCGCAGTATTCGTTCATGGTGCAGCCATCGCCTCAAGACGCAGCGTGGAATGAGTGCCGATTCACTGCCTTCCGTCCGCTGGAGTTCCAACGCATCCGTCGATTCTTTGGAATTGATGAGGACGCGTACCTCTCGTCGCTGAAATCTTGCACGACTCCTAAGGTCAGTGAAGGTGCAAGTGGATCCTTCGTCTACTACTCCACAGATCGAAGCTACGTCGTCAAGTCTCTCACCGGTTCGGAGAGTGCGTTTCTCCACAGCATTTTGAATGAGTACACGGCGTATATCGAAGAGCAGAACGGGGAGAGCTTCCTCACGCGCTTCCTCGGCAGCTACTGCCTCGAGCTGTATGGCCGCCCGATACACTTTGTGGTGATGGAGAACGTCTTCGACGTGCAGCAGGGGATTTCTATCCACCAGCGATACGATATCAAGGGCTCGTGGGTAGATCGCAACGCTCAGAAGCCTCGTCGAGGTGCTGAAGCTACTTGTCGCCACTGCAATCTCAGCTTCCGCTGCGGGGGCAACAGGGTTGAAGGCGACAAGAACCGACGAAATGTGTGCCCGAATCGAGCTGGAGCACCGCACGAGCCCAATGTCGTGCTGAAAGACATGGATCTGACTATGAAACTGCGCTTCGGCAAAGTGGCTGGGCGCAAACTGCTCGCGCAGCTCATGCGGGACAGCGACTTCCTGTGTGCCCGCGGCGTCATGGACTACTCGTTGCTGCTGGGCGTCATCGAAGTGAGCTATTTAGTGAACCGGCACAATATCTTGACGAGGGATGGCAGCGTCTTCCTCCCGCCTGACTCGTTCACTGGACGACCAACCACACCTCGACGACGTAGCGGTAAGGACGGCGAGCAGTATGGAGAGAGTGAGACCACAGGCAGCACCGAACGAGTCAAGCAGTCAACACAATGTCTTCGCGCTGCAGAGGTGGTGATTGGGCCGGGCTTCTACTACATCGGGGTCATCGACATGCTGCAGACATGGAACCTGTCGAAGCGATTCGAGCGATTCGTGAAGACGGTCATCTTCCGCAAAGACCCGGACGGGATCTCGGCCATGCCACCGAAGCCATATCGCGACCGATTCCATCGGAAACTGCGCGAAATCATCCACCTCGGACACAACTCAAGCATCATACCGCCTGCTCCAGCCACAGTCGAGGACGATGGCAGTGGGACTAAAGGTCTAGAAGACGACAACGCAGAGAGAGCGGAAAACCTTTCCAATGATCTCGACGACGACGGGTGCGACCGAATGACACGCATCCGGCCGCGTGGAGTTGCAATACCCCCCATCGACCATACTGCTGCAAACGCTGCTGGCCAGCAGGTGAGAACTGCGCGAGATAGCAGCGGCGAGATACCTATGACACCTTCTGCTCAGGGACGCGTACTCGGGAGCAGTTTGTAATTTACGGCAAATATATATTCCCAAGCATGGATGAGCGCTGTTGTCGTGCTCACAGTTCGAATCAGTAGCGAGGTTTCACTAAGACTTAGCACCGCGCATCAGCTACAGAGAGCAGTGCAGTAGACCTATCGCATCGAGATGCTTTGATTGCGTGGTATAACCTAACGCAAGTCTTTCCTAAGATACTTACAGCGTCGTCGACTGAGAAGCCGAAGGATGAGAGCGACTACCGGTAGGGCGTTCATCCGGGTGTGCCACGACGTACATCCCTTGTGGTGATACAGTGTCAGTTGTACCTATGGGTTTCAGTTTATTTTACTTCGCGCAGGTGTTGCAAGGAGTTTCTACTTGAGAAGAAATACGTTTGTTGTTTTCAAAATGATGTTTTGATGCGATGCACCTCAATACATATACGACACCACTACTTGAGCACTTGGGAGTTCGCCGTGGCACGTTTGCAACTGAAACCTACGTTATTGGCGGGGAACGCTGGGGTCGTCAGACTTCTGCACTTGGATGTGTTAGTTTTGACGGAATGACTTTCACGAAAAAAATCTTTGGATTATATGTATTCGTTCAGACCACCGCTAAGTTAGATGTCCATCATGGCGCACTTCGATCAAGTCCAGCATGATGTCCATCGCAAATCACTCGGTTCAGCGCATAGACCAGGCGTTTGGTCTCATTTGTGCATGTCGCTTCACTGTCATGGCTCACTCTTCAACTCGCCATGAGCAGCGGAGTGCTGTCGCTTCCGACTCGCTGCAGTCCCTTGTCTGCGGTCCCTCCGTCCTCGTCCTCCCCGTTCTCCGTCTCGAATACGTCGTCCATGTCGTCGGCTGCCGATGCTCCGCCACCAGCAACAGCACAGCCCGCGGCGTCGGTGGGCGGCCCCTGGGGCGACTTCGTGTCGCGGTCGGACGCGTCCATGGCCAAGCTGCTGCAGGATTCGCTGCCCAAGACCAAAGCCACTCGCGCCAGTTGGCTGGCCAATCACCAAGAGCTGGACGACCAGGACCGAGTGGATAGAGTGGAGTTCGTCGACCTGTACACGGGTTTCGTGATGCTGTTGCTGCTGCCAGTGGCTGCAGTTGTCTACGTGGTTGTTATGCTCGCTGCGTTGCCTGGCCTGGTGGTGGTTAAGATCTACATGGCTACAGCCTTGAAGAGACCTACGAAGAGCATCGAGAGAGGGGCGGGCTTTCAGGTTCTAGCGATCGTGTTGGGCATGTTGGCACTGCCGTGCCACTTGATTGTGCTGGTCTTCTGGGTCGTGGCATTTCCGACGATCTTCCTCTTCAGCGTGCTGTACTCGGTGGCGTCGCTGAAGATCTTGCTGCTGAGAGACAATTTGGCGCTTATGCAGAGCTGCAGCCAGTGGCCGAAGTGGAGCTGGAGAGACACGGTATGTGCGGTGGTAGGCACCATGGACAGGCAAGGGTTCGTGAAGTTTGCACTCAAGTTCCCGTCCGCGATGGTGGTCACGCCGATCTTGAAGTATTTATTCGGATGCAACCCGTTCTTGTATCGACTGGCAATTCGACAGCGCTGCTTATGGACGTCACCGCTGGACTTTAATGGTAAGGTTGGAAAGCTTGTTAACCCCTGCTTTTGATTCATATTAACTCTTGGTTTATGCGGCTTTGTGCAGACCAGAAAGCAGTAGCTGCAGTTGTTCAGGCTGCGTCGTGGACGCTCGTTAACCTCACGGACTTGTTGCCGCAGCAAGTGAGCAAGCCTCCACGCAAAGACGACCGGATTGTCAGCGGGCACATCCCGTTCCCAGCCCCCGACCGGATGAGCGGGACTGTCGTTGGCGTTCTTACTACGAACTCGCTCGTGACGTTCGTCAACGCAGACCACAACGTGAACGGCAGCATCTTCCACAGCATGACGGCCAAGAGGAGCATCTACAACGTCTTGCTATTCGTCTGGAACCCGTGCCACTACCTGACCGGCTACGTTGAGATCAACTTACAGCACGACGGGGGCATCGAGCAGGCCAGTACGTGTGGCTCAGGAACTGCGATGTTGTATCTATGCTTATATTGTTTATGTTTCTTGCTGGCAGTGTGGTGTATTGTAGGAGACAACTACATCGGGAACTTGCTGTTCGAGCGCACGGACGCGCTCTTCTGGCACTACGACCCCATCAAACGCGGTCAGATGGGGCCTTCTAGCCTACGGTTCATCCGTGGGTCCATTGCGTCGACAATGTCAGTGACAGACTCGGTAGTGGCTTTGGACGGGAGCAACAAGGACCAAAGACGCGCCGCCAACGACACCGACGCCAGTCTGGACAGCTACGAAACCGCAGAGGGACTTGAAAGCTTCGAGACGGAGCTGAGTCTCGGAAGTTGCGGGTCTGAACAAGAAGACGACGACGTCAAGAACTGTAGCAGTCGCGTTACTATCGGCGTCCCGAGCAGCAGCTTCACATCCACAGGGGAGGTCCTGCCTATTCCGGAAGAACGGAGCACGATGGACTCGGTGGCCATGCTGCAGTCAGCGTCCAGCTCCGCCTCGCAGTCGGACTTTAGCATATCAGACCGACGCTCTGATAGGTTCTACCCGTACGTAGTGTGATCGCCCTCCCAGCAGCAGATAGACAAGTCCTGTGTGTATAAAGGATCTTGCATGTCAAACTTTGGTAACTTTAAGTTGAAGTGACCTCCAAGGTGACCGACCGTCTCCACTGGTGGACGTACTTAGCGCAGCTGTCCGGTGCCAAGTGTCCGCTCCTTGTTCGATACATTTCCACGATACAACCGTGCTCAAAAGACCGTGTCAAATCCCCTGCATACAAATCCGTATATGCGGCGTTTGCGCGTGCGGCAGCTCGTGGGTCATAATCCCCAGCCAACCAACCCCGCGTTTCGAGCGGCTCAAGTGCCGCCCACGGCCTCGACGCCATTAGTTCTCCTTTTCGTCTCTATCAAGTAGTCGACTGTCAAGATGCCCCGTGGACCCCGCAAGCACCTCAAGCGCATGAGCGCGCCCAAGCACTGGATGCTGGGCAAGCTGGACGGCATCTGGGCGCCGCGCCCGTCGTCGGGCCCGCACAAGCTGCGCGAGTGCCTGCCGCTCATCATCATCCTGCGCAACCGCCTCAAGTACGCGCTCACCAAGCAGGAGGTCACCATGATCTGCATGCAGAAGAGCGTCAAGGTGGACGGCAAGGTGCGCGTGGACCCGGACTTCCCGGCCGGCTTCATGGACGTGGTGGAGCTGCCCAAGACGGGCGACCAGTTCCGCCTGCTGTACGACACGAAGGGCCGCTTCGTGCTGCACCGCATCTCGGACGAGGAGAAGAAGTTCAAGCTCGCCAAGGTCATCCGCCAGGAGTACACCAAGAAGGCCATCCCGTACATCGCCACCAACGACGGCCGCACGATCCGCTACCCGGACCCGCTCATCAAGGTCGGCGACACGGTCAAGATCGACCTGGAGACGGGCAAGGTCGTGGACCACATCAAGTTCGAGGTCGGCAACCTGGTGACCATCACGCGCGGACGTAACTCGGGCCGCGTCGGCATCCTGCACCACATTGAGAGGTAGGAACACACCTTCTGGACTCATTGCGAGCTGGGTGTGGTGGTTTACATCATCCGTGGGCCGTCAAAGCGTGCTATTTACTGAGAGATCGGAGCCTTTTTGAGCCGCTCCGATCCATTGTGGACGTGGCTTTCTGAGCTTTGGTGACTCACGCGATGTTATTGTTGATTGTGTTCTTCTTATTCAGGCACCAGGGTTCGTTCAACATTGCCCACGTCAAGGACTCGGCTGGCAACGACTTTGCCACGCGTCTCGGTAACGTGTTCGCCGTCGGCAAGGAGGCCCGCCCGTGGGTGTCCCTGCCCAAGGGCAAGGGCATCAAGCTCAACATCCTGGAGGAGCGTGAGCTCAAGGAGAAGAAGGCCAACAACTAAGCGTCATTTCACAAATGACACGCGGTAGTTGAAAGGAAGGGAGAGCCTTTTGCTGGGCTCGCTGCGACTTGTGAGAACGGGTCGCGCACTGGCAGGGTTCTTCCTTTGCCTTTTCTGTCTGACTGGCATTGAGAGGAGAACTTTCTAAGAGCGAGAATGAAATAGGAGTCACTTTTCGTTCACACAACCTTTGTTTGATGTGCGTTACTTATCACACTTTAGCGTGGTAACTAGCGCGTTCGTTCGATACTTTGCCCATGCTTCGAGGTTGAGCAACACATAAGCACAGATATTCGAAGCGTTCGCCACAGCCTTGACATGGGGAAACAGGTTTGAAGTCCTCGTCCACTGCACTGTCAAACTACAAGTGCCGTCTTGGAAACGTGAAATCGTGGAAGAACGTCGTCGCCCTCAAGGTCTCTCCACGTCTTGTCTTCCACGCGGTACACTTGTCCAGCTTCATCTTGTACTTTACCATCTTTCGGCACTCTGGCCGTGGATCGATCAGCCAGCCCAACCGAACGCCGTGCGTGAAGAACTCGTCGCGTCCAGCGCATCTAGCTGCGAGTCTTCGCCGGACAGTCGGTCGATTTCCACGACAAACGATGGCGCGTACTGCTCCCCACTGCGCAACCGCCACAATTGAGGAGCGCTCGGATCTCTGCGAGCACGGTGAGGGATGTAGGTGACATCGGGCATTCGCACTTGAGTGGGGGTTCTCGATCTCTCGTCGTAAATGTACGCCCCTTTCGACAGCATCACCTCTCCTCTTTCCCCGGACCATTTCGCCCAGCGACTTACTTGCGTTCCGACCAGATCACACGACATCTCGGCCAGGGATGAAGTAGCCCTCGTCAACCCAAAAGACTCGCATCTTCCCAAAAACTGGATACGTGAGTGGGCCGTGCTCCGCTAGATATTCGTTCGAAATCCCCTCCGAGACGCCGGGGTATTCGGCGCAGCAGCACAGCGTCTCCTTGGATTTCAAATCACACACAAGTCGCTCCAGCTCACACTGCACTCCGTTCTCCTCGGTACTTGACATTGTTCAGAAGGAATAAAGAAAACCGAAGACTAATGTCTGCTTTGAGTGAGAGATAATGACTATCGGTCGATGATTCTACGCAGGGAAAAGTTGCCCCGCCCGAGTTATCTTGACTGGTTGTTTGGGGTCTCCTCGAGCCGTCGCTACTGCGTTGATTTGCTCCAGGATGTTGTAGCTTTCAGCGTCCATGAGGCAGCCGAAGACCACGTGCTTGCCATCCAAACTCGGTTGCTACAGTCCGAGTTTGTTAGATGCTAACGCTGATTGACAATCAAGAGGGAGGACAATGCATACACGGACCGAAGCAAAGTGCAGGTAGAACTGGCATGTGTTGGAGTCTGGACCCGTGTTCACCATGGACAGCACACCTGTCCCCGTGTGGCGAAGGATGAAGTTTTCGTCGTCAAAGGTCGACGGCGGAGGTGGCACCTCTGGAACTTTTCCGCCACGCGATGAAGTCGGGTCTTCTTCTTCGACAGGACCAACTTGGCGAGCACTATGGCCGAAGGTGCACTCGCCACCAGACCCGTCGTGATTCTAGGCAAGAAGACAGCACGTTAGGCCTGAGGATAGCGGACAAAAGCTGATAGTTACCGTACAGCGTAGTCTCCTGACTGGCAGAATTTGTCCTTGACGACTCGGTGGAACGGACTGGACACATTTTCGAGTGAATACCTACTCCCGCTCACTCCTGTAATCTCTCGTTTTGAGTCTTACCACTTCGCGTAGTGGCGTCGTCGTCCTGTTCGAAGCTCCCTCGTTTCTCCAGTACAAAGTCGTCGAAAGTTTTCAGCCGTTCGGGGCACTACATCGGCACGCAGCTTTACGATAATGATGAGCCACACGACCAAAACGGAGAAAGTAGATGTCCCCAACTTACCTCAATCAGCAGACGACCGACGTTCTTCTCGCCGATCGAGACGTCGAGGAACACGATGGGGTTGTCGCCGCGCTGTCGAGGGCGCTGCATGATGAACTACCAGCACAACTCCAAAATTAGCAAAGGTTTTGAAGAAGACCGGAACTTTCAAGTGTACAAAATGTGGTAGATTTACAACGAGGTTACGCGGTTCTGGTGCGGCTGAGTGAGAGTACCCCATTCAGTGTTCACCGATCTACAGGAAGTACGCGGCGACAGCGATCACGGCAGCCGATGCGGCACCAACCGCCGTCGACACCTGCGACGCACCACTCGAGCCCGACGCCGAGGCCGAAGCTGACGAAGACGTCTTCGAGGTACCCGAAGTGCTGGACGTTGTCGAGGTGCCTGAGGACGACGAGTCCAGCGTGGACGAAGACGCCGTCGCTGACGACGAGCCGGTCGTCGTGGTACCCGATGAGCCCGTCGTCATGGCGCTGGAACCGGTCGAGCTGGCGGCAGCCGACGTGGTGTCTCCGGCAGCGACAGAGCCCGTAGCCGACCCACCCGTGGCGCCTGTAGCGTCAGCAGCGCCAGTCGATGATGACGCAGTTGAAGCACCCGTCGTTGATGCGGCCGTGGCCGTACCCGTCGCAGCAGCGCCGGTGTTTGAAGCTGCGGTCGAGGACGCGACGCCCGTTGTTCCCGTCGTGGTGGCAGCGTTCTGGGCCGAGGTGCCGGCAATGGCAAGAGCGGCGATGATGAGAACATGGAAGACCTTCATGGTTGATGGAGTAGTGCTTGGGGAGGAGACTTGGTGGGAAGAGAGCAAATTGCTGAATGACTTCAAAGATTGCATGCCAGGATCCACCTCCGAGTCGAGCGTAGTGGACATTTTCATCTGCAGTCTGGCGTGATTCCACACATGGTCCGATATCATGGGCGCCTCCTAGCCCGCCCCCATTGCCGCGGTACTAGACACCACAGACTTCAAGCAGCCGAAACGCGTATCGGCTTACCAGCAGAGACAACTGGCTGGTACGCTTTCAGCATGCGATCCTATACGCGAAATATTGTGCATCGAACATTACGATAACTTGTTGCAGCATGAACCCTCGGAGTGTTTTCCTTCGCATCGATGCATGCGTTCGGAAAACGAAGCGATTCAAGACGTGAAGTCTTTATCTTCGAAGTAGAATTGTTCCGTTAGCACGTTTGTGAATTTTACGATAAGGTCTTCTGCCAGTTTCGTGCATAACTTTTCATTGAATTGTCCATTCTGAAATCTGATTGCACCCCGCTAAATCTGGGCTGAATTTATGTACTTCACGCTTGTCCGTGTAAATTTTGCAGAACTTCTTGTTATTGTTTTGAAAAGCTTGTTGATTTGGAGTGAGCTGCCAGTTTCCTGCCTCTTTTTGATAGCATTTTTGTATGCTATGCAAATCCTAGGAGGCTCATCACCGGAAATTGCATGTGACGCTGGAAAAATCTACCAATAGACTACGAGAGTTTAACAAGGAGAAGATGCTAATTGGCTAAAATAAGTAGGCACGGAACTGGTTGTAGGCACGCAACTGGCACCTTACCTTATAGCGGAAATGGTGTTTGTAAGCGCGGTGGTCTAAATGAGGTTCACTTACCATGAACCAGTTGCTTACGACTGCTGCTTCGTCCGTTAATTGCGCTCTAAGCAACTTGTTAATAAGACGTCCGTACCAGGGGTGGGCAAGATCTTTTTCTACCAGGTAAGTTTATTGGTAAAGACACAAACACACATACTTCACTCGTCAAGAACATGTAAATAGTATCCACAGCCACAAAGCGCTTCAAATGAACTATGGAAGGCGTCTAACACCGCCTGCATGTTAGCCTAAGCAATAAATATTTGCTATCCACTGGCAAACAATTATCAAATGCTAGACATTTGTGCGATCCCCCCAGTATAACATTCCAGCTCGGCAAGGCGGAAACAAAAAAAGACGATGTTTGTGGATGTTCTATTAGCATTATACATCTATACAAGAAACAAATGAAATGATGCACAACCAAGGTGCGATACATGCTGAATGAAGCACATGAAATACTCAGTTAGCTCAGTAAAAGCAGGCGGATTCCACTGCTCAGTCCAAGTGGGCGCCGGTGTAGGCAGCGCTTCAGGCGTCGATGGCGGAACAGGGTAATCCGACGTTGGCGTGCTTGGGATCGGAGTGACCACAGGGACCTCGGGCACCTGCGGGGTCTGAGGTGGCGGGGTGGGCTTTCCGTCAGGAGGTGCCACAGACATCTCGGGTGTGGATACCGGAGGTGAGGGCGTGAACAGATACTAAGGTGGCGGCGTCAGCTTTCCTGTAGGGGGTGTCCGGTGTGGACGTGGGTTTAACAAGCGCGATACCCTTACTCAGATCGGGCAATCCTGCCTTACCGTTGTTTGGTGCCAGCGCCTCCTTCTGACGTGGAGACGGGAAAATACTACTTTCAGGTAGTATTTTCCGCGAATCGAACTCGTCTGCAGTGAAGCAGGTGCCTCACCGACTAGGAGTGTGGTCGCTCTTAGTGCCTGAGTGTTTGGGCCCAGTGCGAGTGAGTTGAACCCAACGCGAATGAGCACAATCTGAATCCACGCATCCCCCTACGAAAGGCAGAAATCCACGCATGCTTGAACGAGTCGAGCACGCGTGGATTTCTTCCTCTGCACTTTTCCAACGCGTGTGCAGTTCATTCGACGTTTTCCTCAACAGCGGGCACACCAACACGGCCAGCCAGCATGACTGGCCTCGCAGCTTCTCCAAGCAGCACGGGCATTGTGGACCAGTCGGTTTGTGAGATGAACACTAAGCTGTCCGAGGTCGTCGACAAGGCGCTCGGTTTTGGGTTCCTGGAGGGGCAGGTGAAGGGGCAGCTCGTTAAGCTGCGAAACCCCGTTCCTTTCTGCTCATATTTGAGCACAGACTCGAGCTTTGACTCTGCTGAGAGCACGTCCTTATCTAGGGACTGTGCGCGTCTCAATCTAATGGTTCAACTAACCACCCCCGAAGGCGACTACGGGGCCGAGAGCAGCTACTTTTCACGCAGCCAGACATGTCGAGACCAGAGGGTAGTGTGCTTCTTCTTCAAACGCGTGATTGCTAAGCGCAGTATCCCCGTTCCGAAGTTCACCGATTTGATCCCAGTTCGAAAGAAATCTCACGCGGAAGACGGGCAGTGGATTGTGGAGCGCCTGGGGAACCAAGTTTGCACTGACGAGTTCTACGGCGGTGTGGCGAATGTCTCGTTCGTGTGGGATCACTCTGCAAGTATGAATGCGTCGAAGCTCATTTCGAGTGTTCAAGCAGCCCTGGCCAGTGGGGACGTCAAGAAGGAGTTGGTACAGGCGTGCGAGACGAACCAGATCAACTGTCGAGCCACGGTCAAAGGGTTCGCCCTTCCGGACCCTACCAAAGGACCTCTAACCAGCACGTACGGTGTCGTGAACCTGATTGAATTGCTCAACTATCTGCCGATCGTCTGCGCAGTCCCAGTCGAAACAAAGTCCGTTCCGATCCAAAACGCCAGAAACTTTCCTTACAGTATCCGCGTCGAAACGCAGATCAGGGACCTGAAGACGCAGGAAAAACTGACGGAGCTGTTGCTGCGGATTCATGGCAATGGAGGCAGAGACTCAGCCTTGTGCGAGTTTGTCGAGCGTTTGAGTGAGGAGATCGAGGATGCAGCATTTAACGGCCGGGCACTGGTTCCCCACCTGAAAAAGCTGGCGAATATCGTGGTACAGACACTCGTCCATCATGGCAAGTGCGTTGAGCTGTATGAACGCTACGGAGACTTTCGCTTACGCACTCAGAACTGCAGTACGAATGGGGTCACAGCGTCTGCCACCGAGACTTTGTTTGGTTTCACGTTTGGCGTTGCTATCCCGTTCGTGAGGCTCTACCAATGGGGAGTGTTTGAGAGATCTGAGAAATGGACGAGACCCAAGCACTACGGGGCGACTAAGATCGCGTACACACAAACCGTCTCGGGCTACTACGACCGCGTGAAGCTCCAATTACTGTTCGATAACAAGGAACTTTTGAGGGAGTGGCAGACCGAAATGGATCGTATAGTAGCAAGCCGGCGCCCTCGATCAGGAGCCGGACCCTGGGGAACCCTCATTGACGCTTTTGCAGCGTGAGATCTCTCTGCCAGGCCAGGGGCAGAAGAAAGGAAACAGCATTCTGGTATGCTAAAGTGTGATGAACCAAGCGATGCGCCTAATTGAATTCGATCTATCATAAAAAATGTTAAACACAATCGGTTCGTGAATCCATGCTTTCTATTAGCACTATACATCTACAACAAAAACAAATGAAATGATGCACAACCAAGGCGTCACCACCCGACACAAGCTGGATCCCGCCCTTAGCACATGAAGTGCTCAGTAGGCTCAGTGGGGGCAGGCGGGTTCCACTGCTCAGTCCAAGTGGGCGCCGGTGTAGGCAGCGCTTCAGGCGTCGATGGCGGAACAGGGTAATCCGACGTTGGCGTGCTTGGGATCGGAGTGACCTCAGGGACCTCGGGCACCTGTGAGATCTGAGGTGGCGGAATGGGCTTTCCGTTAGGAGGAGCCATAGGCATCTCGTTCGGCGGCAAAATGGGGATTTCGGGGGTCTTGGGCGTTGAAATCGGAGGGTACGTCGGAATTTCCGGCGTCAACGGAGTCTGAGGCGGCAGTGTAGGTTTTCCCTCAGGGGGCGCCACAGGCGTCTCAGGAGTCGAACTCGGCGGCAAAGTCGAAGGGTATATCGGAATTTCTGGCGTCTGGGGTGGCGGAATGGGCTTTCCGTTCGGAGGAGCCACAGGCGTCTCGGGTGTGGAAGTGGGTTTACCAAGCGCGATACCCTTACTCAGATCGGATAGATCGGGTAATCCTGCCTTGGGTGTACCGTTGCCTGCATCGGGAATAGTGGTGATCGGAATAAACGTGCCGGTACTTCCACTCTCGCTTGGCACGGACGTCGGCTCAACCGCGTCGCTACCCGCAGCAGGAGCAATGGTGATTGGGCCATTAATTCCTGAGCTTCCGCTCTCGCTGGGAACTGAGGTCGGCTGCGGGGTTTCTTCGTGGCCATCGCTGCCGCTCAAAGAAGAAGAAGGGGTAACAGTCGATGGGATCTCCGTCGGTGTCATTGTTGGGGTCTCGGTCGGTGCTTCGGTGGGCGAGTTGCAAGTCAACGACAGCTCCAGCAGTTCCTCAACGTTCGCGTAGCTCAGACCCGCGCTGGTGACAGCCGATGCCGCGGGCTTGCCTGTCGGGAACCACAAGAAGTCGGGGTGGTCCTCCTTCGATCGGCCGACCCACTCGCCTCCGATGACCGCGTAATTGGCGTCCAGCTCCAGCAGGTATTCGTAGTCCTGGGACGACGTGTACCTGTCCACTTCTCCGGTGGAGACGAGCGGGCCGTCCTCGTACGCCTCGGAAATCCAGCTCAGCGTGGTCTTGACGTAGGCCAAGTGCGCCATTTCAGCGTTGAACGGGTAAGTCGAGATACCAAAGAATTGCTGCGAGGCCTCTGCGACGTCCACCAGCTCCATGGTCTGCACTTCGTAGGAGCGCACGGGCTGGTTCCACACCTCAGCGCCCGCCGACACATCCACGACGAAGGACTGATGCTGCTTGCCCATGATGTTGGCGATTGCAATGTGGAAGTACCCTGCGCCCAGGTCGCGACGCGCAGCGTTGACGTATCGACCGTACTGGTCTGCGTTGGCCGGGGAGTCCGGACCATTGAAGCGAGCTCCAGTGAAGACCGTCTTGAGAGACGCGCCGTCGTACAGGTCCGTCAGCAGAGCCTTGATGTCGAACACGTGGAACGTGACGCCGTTCTTCTCCACGCTGCACTGCGGCTCCTGCTCGAGGATGGCGGCGGGCGCCCACGCGTGGCAAATCCCCCACCACGTCGGGATGCAGTAGCCGCTCGACGTACCGTCGCGGATGGCACACTCGCTGCCGTCGTTGGTACTGGCGCAGTCGCTGTTAGTAGAGCAGGCCTTTCGGTTCTTGTGGGCATCGATGCCGTTGTTGGCCGACACCTTGTTCTTAAAGTCCGTGGGGTCCAGGCCGAAAGCGTTGGCGTATTTCTCGGACGCGCTGGGCTCGCCAGCCTTCCACACGCTGTTGATGCTGTCCTGAAAGGTGGGCCAGTAGCTGCTCGCCCAGGGCGACGACGGAGCAGAAGCAGCGCCGTACTTTTCCTTCAGGGTGTTGAAGTCGAGCTCCATGCTCGTTCCGAAGTAGTTCTCCAATTTGGCGACGTCCGTGTTGGACGCGTCCTCCATGCCGCGCAGCTTGCGGTACATGGAGCCCGTGACGACCATCGACTCAGCCTTGGCCTGGTTCGGGTCCTTCGGGATGACAGGCTCGACGCAGTCATCTTTGAGCTTGCCACCGTACGCCGGGTGCGAAGCTGTGAGGGGAAAGTTGGTGTTGATCGGCGTGTACGGGTTGTACTGGAGCGGAGCTGCCTGGATCTGTGCTGTCGAAGCTGCCGCGATGGCCACACTCAGTGCGACGGAGCGATAGGTGAACACCATTGCTGCGGTTTATTCACACGACTAGCGTGAAGTGAATGGAGAAGCTGGCGGCGTAAGTGCTGGGAGGAACTTTCCAAGGAGTTGGAAAGTTTGGGAATGAGCTTTTGCGGTGAGCAGATAGGAACTCTTGTTGAAATTGCACCCACTCACTCACTGTCCGTTCTAAAGGGGCAACACAAGGGGTGAAGGCGTCACTGGATCCTCCGCGTGCGTCCACTGCACCATTCACTACTCGACCGTTGACAGACGGAAACGTTGAACATTCTGCTCACAGGCTGTCTTGGCCAGCATAAAGCACCGAATTACCAGGTATAACAGGCAAAGCAGTGAGTTCGGTGATATTTCAAACACCCTCTGGTAGACACCGAAACTTTGGTACGAACCGGGTAGGTCTGCAGGCTAACCTCGTTAGAGTTTGAACCAAGCGCCGCCCAACCACGATACGGTAGCCCGCCTCGACACCCAACTGTTTAAACTGTTTACTTGAAGGACACCTGAGGCTGCATACGGCACTGAGAAACTTTCTCTTGTGTGGCACAGATCTTGAAAATGCACGCGTTGGCACTGTTGCGCAATGTATTCACGACTGGATAACTGCGACTTTGACCTTCTTGTATCATACAAACACACAGATATCTATACACCCTTCAGGTGGACGCTACGTCTCCTTATGGCTCCGGATAAACCAGACTTGCCCTCCAACAACTGAGACCGTCCAGGAAAATGTCATGAGCTCGTCGGTGCAATGTGTCTCTGACGTGCGTTGCGGCACCTGAACTTTGTTTGGCTTGGGCTCGTCGGGAATCCAGATCGCTTTGCAGCTTCACGGTAACAAACTTTAGCTCCGATACCCCTTCAGTGGACCTCGATCGCGGTCTCGACCTTGGCATCCTGCTGCGTGGTGACGTCACCACTCCGAGACTCCAGCTTGTCATCGTCTGTCTCGACCGTTGTAGTACTCTTCTCCAGCTCATCGTCCGTCTCCGCGTCCGTTGTGGTCGCTTTGTCCTCCTCAGCCACATTCTTGAGCTTTGAGCCAGGCGTCGACGACTCCACCGTGTCGTAAGTTCCGCCTCGGGGGAAGATGCAAAAGAGTCCGAGCTGGACGGCCCCCAGCAGCAGATTCGCAGCGTTCGGGACGATGACGAAGGAATCTGCTCGAAGCAAGCCGTACGCCAGCCAGAGCACGCAGTTGACCACTCCAGCGACGATCATAGTGAGCGGCAGCAGCTCCGTGTTGCGCTCTTGAATCACGCGCTTGACCAGCACCAGCGGCGAGCCGAACATGACAGAGGTGATAGCCACCGTGACGAAGCCCACAATGTCCTGCACAGTCTCCTCTTTCACCCCTTCAGCCGCTGCAACGAATGGGTACGCCACCAGCCCCGCGAGCACCAGCGCCGTGGCTAGAATCTCCAGCCGCAGACTACCTTTGTTGCCTTCGTGGCGGTAGTACACGACGAGGTAGAACAGGGAGAACGTGAGCCCCACGACGTTCGTTGCCACAAGAGGGAAGTAGTCTTTGACCAGCAGCCCGTAGAGTCCCCACGCCACGCAGTTGGCGATCATGGACAGCACCGGCAGCGCACTGGGCATAGTAGCCGTGCTCTTCTGCTGATGCACCACGCGGATCTCCGGCAGCAGACTCGCGAAGAGGAAGCACGCGGCCAGAGAGGCCAGCACACGGACAACAGTCACGACCAGGTCCTCCATGGTAGCGGGGGGCCGAGCGGTGAGGAGGAATGCGCACGATGGGACACGTCTGTCGAGCGTCCAGCAGAGACGTAACGGTCGAGAGTTCAGATCGCCGGGATAAGACACAATTTTTAAATCACATAATTGCCTAAGTTCTGCTGTATAATTGTTTCAAAAGCAATTATGTATTCTATAATTTTAACTATTATGAGACTTAACCTATAAATTGGCCAATACAAGTTGCTAAAAAGGGTACACGTAAGTGTAATACCGTAAGCAAAATACATTGACAATATCGGTGTGCCCTACGCGCTGCACGAAAGCGACTGCTGCACGAGCTCCTGGATGTTGGCGTAGCTTAGCCCGACGCCCGTGACGACGTTAGCAGCGGGTTTGGCAGTCGGGAACCACAGGAAGTCCGGGTGGTCGTCCTTGGAGTTGCCGACCCACTCTCCGCCGATGATGTTGTAGTTGACGTCCAGCTCCAGCAAGTACTCGTAGTCTCTGGCCACGGTGTACCGGTCGACCTGGCCGGTAGACACCAAGGGTCCGTCGACGTAGGATTCGACGATCCAGCTGAATGTGGTCTTGGCGTACGCCAAGCGCACCATCTTGTCGTTGAACGGGTAAGTGGGGATGCCGAAGTACTTCATCGAGGCCGTGCGGGTGTTCACCAGGTCCATGTTCCTCACTACAAACGAGCGCACGGGCTGGTTCCACACCTCGGCGCCTGCAGTGACGTCCACGACGAACGAGCGCTTCTGCTTGCCCATGATGTTGGCGATGGCGATGTGGAAGAAGCCGGCGCCCATGTCGCGACGCGCGGCGTTCGTGAATCGGCCGTACTGGTCCTTGGTTGCAGGCGTGTCCGGGCCGTTGAAGCGCGCGCCTGTGAAGACTGTTCTGATTGACGCGCCGCCGTACAGCGTCGTGACCAGCGCCTTGATGTCGAACACGCGGAATGTGACGCCGTTCTTGGTCACGTCGCACTGCGGCTCTGGCTCAAGGATGGCTGCCGGTGCCCACGCGTGGCAGATGCCGAACCACGTCGGGATGCAATAACCCGCGGTCGAGCCGTCGCGCTTGGCGCACACGCTACCGTCCTTACGATTCGTGCAGTCGGCGTCGGCAGTGCACGGGGTGCTGGACTTGCGCGAGTCCACACCGTTGCGCGCGGAGTATTGTTCTTGAAATCGGTGACATTCAAGCCGTCGGCAACCGCGTACTTCTCGGAGGGGCTGGGCTCGCCAGCCTTCCACACGCGGTTGATGCCATCCTGGAAGGTGGACCAGTAGCTGCTAGCCCAGGGGGTCGTTGGAGCAGAACCCGAGGTGTATTGGCTCCGCAGCGTTCGGATGTTGACCTCCATCTTGGAGCCGAAGAACGTTTCCAGATCCTCAATGTCCGAGTTGTCGGAAGTCTCCATTGCGTGCAGCTTGCGGTACACGGGGCCTTGGAGCTTCATCGCCTGCGCCTTCGGCGCGTTCGGGTCGGCCGGAATGATCGGCTCGATGCAGTTCTTCATCGGACCGCCGTAGGCGGGGTGCGATGGTGACAAGGGGATCGAGGTACACGGGGCCTTGGAGCTTCATCGCCTGCGCCTTCGGCGCGTTCGGGTCGGCCGGAATGATCGGCTCGACGCAGTTCTTCATCGGACCGCCGTAGGCGGGGTGCGATGGTGACAAGGGGATCGAGGTGTTCACCGGCGTGTATGGATCGTACTCGATCGGAGAGGCTTGAACGACTGCGGTTGATGCTATCGCGGCGACAGCAATGAACGCGACGGAGCGTGAGAATGTCACCACCGTCCATTTTACTGCTCGTGTTGGACGGCAATCATGGGAGAGAACCGTCACCATCGGATGCTACATGCTACATGTAGGCATTCGTGGATGGAGATTTATGCGGCAATAGTGGGCAGAGTGCATTGTATCTCAGAGCCATCGGTGACAATACATGGCTGTTGCAGCTGCAGTGCTGCAAACGGTAAACATGATGGCCAGATAATTGGTACACATCTGACAGACTCAGTCGTGGCGTCATGCGGTACACCTGCTTCTGACAGTGAATGGCGGGGACCTTCACTCGCGCGACAGGAAGAGCAGGATGCAAGCGTCAGCTCACCTAAGCACCCACGCCCACACCGATATTTTTAGCAGCTTCGCTTTGATGGTGTGTCCTTGTTTTAGACCTTGAGCTCGAAATGTGAAGGCGGAGTTTCCTTCCGTATGGACAGCTTGCTCGCTGCGTTTGCGATGTGCACGGCATGAGTTGGAGGTACACAAAGAAGTGCAAAGGAAGAGCGGGCCCAGTTGTGCATGGCCAGAGAGATCATGCCGATCAACACCCCAGCGGCGCAGACGTGTATCAGATGTGGGTCTGGTGCAGCAAAGATATCCAACGACGATATCGTCGGATCGTCAGCTTCGACTCGAGCTGCGCCAGTCGAATCCGAGCCCGCCTCAGGTTCCACATAAGAGGCCTTCGCCGTGGAGAATGAAACAGCCGGTTTTAGCCGGTATACCGAATTGAGACTTAGCCATCGGCCTGACAGTGTAGAAGGCCTCTGGCTAGGCCATACAAATAATAAGTGTGGCGGCCCGGTGGTCGTAAGCATCCGACCACCGAGTTCACTTCAACTGCGGTGAGTGACGTCACGGTTCCGTCCACTTCAACTTCGATTCTTCGATTCCGTCGTTCTGGTGCGTCGCTCCATCGTAGGGATCCACCACCGCGAACAGCAATATCCGCTGCGGCATCCTAAAGGAAACTGTGGCTGTCCGATCGACAGCGAAGGTGGCCCCGTCGCCAGCTTCGGCAGTCATCCTCACGCGCTTCCTTCCTTCCGAGCGGATCCCCGCGCTTCACCTGCTCCCGTTCACTTTGGAATTTGCCTCCTCGAGCTCACTCCGTTCTCCTGCGACTCAAGCGAGCTTCACTCTACTCCTCGCCGCCATGCCGTCGACCTGCACGACTCCACCCTGGCTGGGGTACTCCGTCCTCGCGCTCGCGCTGCTGCCGGCGACGCTCCGCGGCGAGGCCATCGACAGCGTCGTCACGCCCCTGGGGGACACCGCGTCGCTGACGCACAGCCACCCGGCCTTCGGCGGCCCGATGCGCGGCAAGGTCGTCGACCCACTCGTGCTCATCCAGCAGAATGACAAGGCCGTCGACGCGCGCAAGCTCGAGGCCGAGCTGTCGGACGTCTCACGCCTGGAGGCCTACTTCGGCGCGCCCATGGAGACCAACTTCAACGTGCTCAAGGACTCGTACTCGACCGCGGCCCGCGACGTGTTGCCCTGGTCCGGGGACTACTGGGCCACGTACCGTGACGGCGTCAACGTCGAGTGGAAGGACGGAGACGTGTCCCCCGCCGAGAAGTACGCGGCTGCCTTCGGCATCAGCGTGGACTCGTTCACGGACGGCATCTCGCTGAGCACCGGCATCCTGTCGGAGTCGTACGACGACTCGGAGTGCTCCAGCGACTCGGACTGCGATTCCGGCAGCCTGTGCGGCATCCGCAAGGGCGAGAGCAGCGGCTACTGTATCCCGACGTGGCACGGCATCTGCCACGCGTGGGCCGCCGCCGCGCTGTTCGAGGACGAGCCCAAGTGCGACGTCGAGCGGAACAACGTGACGTTCCACTCGGTGGACATGAAGGCGCTCATCAGCCAGCTCTACGACGGAGCGGCCATCGAGGTGGTCTTCACGGGCGCGCGCTTCAACGGCCCCGACAGCCCCGAGGAACTCGACGACTACGGACGCTACGTGGACGACGCGCGGCGCGACATCAATCCCGCCTTCTTCCACATCGCGGCCGCCAACATCCTCGGCAAGCAGCGCCGCTCCTTCATCGTGGACGCGAGCGCCGGCTCGCAGGTGTGGAACCAGCCAGTGCAGAAGTACGAGTTCCTGGAGGCCGAGATCGTGGACGCCGCGGCGCTGTCGCTCGACAACTTCGGCACCGAGACGTACCCGTTCAACAGCGCGCTCAAGTACCTGGCCAAGTGCACGACGCGACTGACGTGGACAGCCGAGTCGATCGAGGACGGCGCGCTCACGACCACCGGCAGGATCGAGGCGTACACGGTGTACGAGGACTACGAGTACTGCCTCGAGCTGGACGAGAACTACACGATCGTCGGCGGCGAGTGGCTCGGGGACTCGCGCTACGACCACCCGGATTTCCTGTGGTTCCCCGCGGCCAAGCCGAGCGACGACACTGTCACGGACACGGGCATCTTGTACGCGGACGTGCTGGACATGATCGAGGAGTCGCTCAAGTGCATGGATGTCACGATCAGCCCTGACGTCCCGGACGCACCGTCCACCAAGACGCCCGGATCGGAATACACAAAGTCGCCATCGTACACCAAGACCCCATCGTACACCAAGACCCCATCGTACACCAAGACACCGTCGAAGACCACGAAGGCACCAACTCCAGCGACCAAGACCCCGTCACCAACGACCTACGCGCCTTCAACGTACCCGCCCGAGACCTACGCTCCTGAGACCTACGCGCCGTCGACATACCCGCCGGAGACCTACGCGCCGTCGACATACCCGCCGGAGACCTACGCGCCATCGACTTACCCGCCCGAGACGTACGCGCCTTCAACGTACCCGCCCGAGACCTACGCTCCTGAGACCTACGCGCCGTCGACATACCCGCCGGAGACCTACGCGCCATCGACTTACCCGCCCGAGACGTACGCGCCTTCAACGTACCCGCCCGAGACCTACGCTCCTGAGACCTACGCGCCGTCGACATACCCGCCGGAGACCTACGCGCCATCGACTTACCCGCCCGAGACGTACGCGCCTTCAACGTACCCGCCCGAGACCTACGCTCCTGAGACCTACGCGCCGTCGACATACCCGCCGGAGACCTACGCGCCATCGACTTACCCGCCCGAGACGTACGCGCCTTCAACGTACCCGCCCGAGACCTACGCTCCTGAGACCTACGCGCCGTCGACATACCCGCCGGAGACCTACGCGCCATCGACTTACCCGCCCGAGACGTACGCGCCTTCAACGTACCCGCCCGAGACCTACGCTCCTGAGACCTACGCGCCGTCGACATACCCGCCGGAGACCTACGCGCCATCGACTTACCCGCCCGAGACGTACGCGCCTTCAACGTACCCGCCCGAGACCTACGCTCCTGAGACCTACGCGCCGTCGACATACCCGCCGGAGACCTACGCGCCATCGACTTACCCGCCCGAGACGTACGCGCCTTCAACGTACCCGCCCGAGACCTACGCTCCTGAGACCTACGCGCCGTCGACATACCCGCCGGAGACCTACGCGCCATCGACTTACCCGCCCGAGACGTACGCGCCTTCAACGTACCCGCCCGAGACCTACGCTCCTGAGACCTACGCGCCGTCGACATACCCGCCGGAGACCTACGCGCCATCGACTTACCCGCCCGAGACGTACGCGCCTTCAACGTACCCGCCCGAGACCTACGCTCCTGAGACCTACGCGCCGTCGACATACCCGCCGGAGACCTATGCCCCTGAGACGTACGCGCCAACGACCACTATGCCGTCGACACACACGCCGTATCCGAGCTTGATCTGCTTTGGCGAGACCCCGGCGCCGACTACCGCTACCCCTTCGAGTTACCCGACTGAGGCTCCGAACGCGACCACGGCAGCCCCGACGGAGGCGCCTACGGACTACCCGACGTCAGCACCCACCGCGACGGAGACAACCGCACCGACCTACGAGCCGACCTACGCGCCGACAACCGCGCCGACATACGCCCCGACCTACGCCCCGACAACCGTGCCGACAACCGCTCCGACATACGCGCCAACGCCGACTCCGACTTCGACTACGAAAACGACGACGAGCCCGGCGAGCCAAACAAGTCAGTCGGCGGTCCAGCAAGGCAAGGGTAGAAGCAGCAGCAAGTGGTACCGTCGACTTTTCGGGGAGTTCACGCTGTGGTGGTGAACGCCTTGCTCTAGGTCTGGTCAGGTGACCAACGAACCAGCTCCCAGCGGGGCTACTGAGCTGCATCGTGTGAGTGTTGATGTTCCGCGACGACGGTGACGCCCTGCGTGGCCAAGTCTGCTAGCTTTGCATGATTGATTTTGAATACCAAAAGGGTGATGCAGTCAATACACTTTAGCCTCTGCTCTACTTGCGGTGTTCCTTTACCCGAAGCGTGCAACCGGTTGGGTCCCGGATCCTGATGATAGCTGTCTAACCCAACTACGCGGTTTTCAGGCTTGCTTCAGCAAGCAACATGATTGGGGCCTACGGATAGGAAGCTCTACCCGCGTCCAACCGGTTGTCCGTGAGACGATTCTCATTGCGCACGACTCTTAGCAGAGAGCAGCAGCTCTAGTGACTCAGCTGAACGCCTCGCAAGTACTGTGCTTTGATGCAGTCTTGTAGAGGCACTTCGCCTCTGGTGTCTTTGGATCTATTAAGAGAGCTTTTACTCCCTGATGACTCTACACTACTGTATGTAAGGAAAAATCTGCCGGATAAACTGACAAGCAGTTGTTTCTTCACTATTGTCAAGAGACAATTGTACAGCAGTGCTGATACGAAGATGACTGCACAGGGACCAGATCACCTACATGAGGATAAGAAACGGAGGCCAGCTCAGTTTAGCAGGCATACCCTGCATAGAGGTCGGTCCTCAGATTTGGAGATCAGTCACAATGCAAGCTCAACCTGCGTCTTGTACAATTTGCTTGTGTCCCTCTGCCAGCTGAGGGCACCACGCCATGACCAATGACTCGGTGTGTCCCTTCAATTCCACAGCCGGCCGCATTGAAGACGCCATTCTGCAATTTCTCGACTCGATCCGACCAGCAGCGACCTGCCTCCTGTGACCTGCAGCTCACCCAAGTCGAGACCTTCCAGGATGGTGACAGTTGCTCGCTCCGTTGCGCTCGGCGTGGCGGTTGCCGCAGCAGCTTCGACTGTGCTGGTCCAGGCGGCTCCGCTCGAGTTCAACCCGTACACGCCGGTTGAACTCAACGCGCCGCTGACATCGTCGCACCCAGCGTACGGTGCCAAGACCAAGGGCAACTGCGTCAAACCCGTCATCCCCGTCGACCCCAATGCGGGGAACACGCAGTCTACTGCGGCCCGCAAGCTGCGTGACATGGAGGCGTCTGGCACGGACATGGACGACTTGGCCTCGTTCTTTGGTGAGAAGCTGGAGGTGGACTTCAAGACGCTCCAGAGTCAGTACGCGTACGCATCGGCGTCACGCCCGCCGTGGCCTGGCAGCTACTGGCCCACGTTCCAGGACGGTATCAACCATGCGTGGAGGCACGGCGAGGCTTCAGCGTCGGAGAAATACGCTAAAGCCTTCGATTTGGACGCTACAGACCTCAAGAACAAGATCTCCGCCAGCAACGGCGTCGACTCCTGCAACACCAACACGGCATGCTCAAGTGACGGCGACTGTCCGTCAGGTGTCCCCTGCGCGAAGCGTGACGGCGCGTCCAGCGGCTACTGCATCCCGACATGGTACGGCATCTGTCACGCGTGGGCCCCGGCCGCTCTTCTCGAGGAAGAGCCAAAGTGCAACGTGGAGAAGAACGGCGTGACGTTCCACGTCATGGACATTAAGGCCCTGCTGACGGAAGTTTACGACGGTGCCGACATCGACACGGTGTTCACCGGCGCGCGCTTCAACGGACCTGACAGCCCTGCAACTGAAGACGAGTATGGACGCTTCACCGACCCCACGCGCCGTGACATCGGAGCTGGGTTCTTCCACATCGCCATCAGCAACATCATGGGCAAGCACCAGACCCCGTTCATCATCGACGTGGCGGCGGACTCCGAGGTCTGGAACCAGCCTGTGTGGTCGTACCATGTGCAAACGATGGAGATCGTCGACACGGCCGAAGCCTGCAGCACATACTTCGGCACGACTTCGTACCCGTTCAACACTGAGATGGTGCAGCTGGCCCACGTCAAGACTACGGTCACGTGGGCAGTTGAAGCCTACGTCGACGGTCCGCTAGTGTCGACCGGCAAGGTGAATTCGCACACGGTGTTCAACGACTACGAGTATCTGCTCGAGCTGGATGCCAACAACGCTATCATCGGTGGTGAGTGGGTGGGTGACTCCAAGGAAGACCACCCGGACTTCCTCTGGTTCGCGACAAGCAAGCCTGACATTTCGACCGAGACGGGCGTGGGTCTCAAGTATGCCAATGTGCGGGATCTCCTCGAGTTGTCTCTGGCTTGTAACTCGACGAACGACGAACTACCGACCAGTGATACCAACAATACGACTCCTGAAACCACGACGCCAACGAAGTCCAAGGGCGACATCGAGACCGGCAAAGGTAAAACTGTAAATGGCAAAGCCACGCTTGCCCAGACCGAGACCCCCGTACCCACAACAAATGACGATTCAACACCAGCGCCAACCGCTACCGAGGGTGCGACTGAGACCGAGGCCCCGACGCCGGCGCCGACCACCGCTCTGCCGGAAGATGAATCGACCCCCGCGCCGACTACCGAGCTGCCGGAAGTCGAGTCCACTGTTGCGCCGACGTCGACGCCCTCGACGCCGTACGACAGCACGGACGCGCCGACCGCTACCGAGGGTGCGACTGAGACCGAGGCCCCGACGCCGGCGCCGACCACCGCTCTGCCGGAAGATGAATCGACCCCCGCGCCGACTACCGAGCTGCCGGAAGTCGAGTCCACTGTTGCGCCGACGTCGACGCCCTCGACGCCGTACGACAGCACGGACGCGCCGACCGCTACCGAGGGTGCGACTGAGACCGAGGCCCCGACGCCGGCGCCGACCACCGCTCTGCCGGAAGATGAATCGACCCCCGCGCCGACTACCGAGCTGCCGGAAGTCGAGTCCACTGTTGCGCCGACGTCGACGCCCTCGACGCCGTACGACAGCACGGACGCGCCGACCGCTACCGAGGGTGCGACTGAGACCGAGGCCCCGACTCCGGCGCCGACCACCGCTCTGCCGGAAGATGAATCGGCCCCCGCGCCGACTACCGAGCTGCCGGAAGTCGAGTCCACTGTTGCGCCGACGTCGACGCCCTCGACGCCGTACAGCACGGACGAGCCGACCGCTACCGAGGGTGCGACTGAGACCGAGGCCCCGACGCCGGCGCCGACCACCGCTCTGCCGGAAGATGAATCGACCCCCGCGCCGACTACCGAGCTGCCGGAAGTCGAGTCCACTGTTGCGCCGACGTCGACGCCCTCGACGCCGTACGACAGCACGGACGCGCCGACCGCTACCGAGGGTGCGACTGAGACCGAGGCCCCGACGCCGGCGCCGACCACCGCTCTGCCGGAAGATGAATCGACCCCCGCGCCGACTACCGAGCTGCCGGAAGTCGAGTCCACTGTTGCGCCGACGTCGACGCCCTCGACGCCGTACGACAGCACGGACGCGCCGACCGCTACCGAGGGTGCGACTGAGACCGAGGCCCCGACGCCGGCGCCGACCACCGCTCTGCCGGAAGATGAATCGACCCCCGCGCCGACTACCGAGCTGCCGGAAGTCGAGTCCACTGTTGCGCCGACGTCGACGCCCTCGACGCCGTACGACAGCACGGACGCGCCGACCGCTACCGAGGGTGCGACTGAGACCGAGGCCCCGACGCCGGCGCCGACCACCGCTCTGCCGGAAGATGAATCGACCCCCGCGCCGACTACCGAGCTGCCGGAAGTCGAGTCCACTGTTGCGCCGACGTCGACGCCCTCGACGCCGTACGACAGCACGGACGCGCCGACCGCTACCGAGGGTGCGACTGAGACCGAGGCCCCGACGCCGGCGCCGACCACCGCTCTGCCGGAAGATGAATCGACCCCCGCGCCGACTACCGAGCTGCCGGAAGTCGAGTCCACTGTTGCGCCGACGTCGACGCCCTCGACGCCGTACGACAGCACGGACGCGCCGACCGCTACCGAGGGTGCGACTGAGACCGAGGCCCCGACTCCGGCGCCGACCACCGCTCTGCCGGAAGATGAATCGACCCCCGCGCCGACTACCGAGCTGCCGGAAGTCGAGTCCACTGTTGCGCCGACGTCGACGCCCTCGACGCCGTACGACAGCACGGACGCGCCGACCGCTACCGAGGGTGCGACTGAGACCGAGGCCCCGACTCCGGCGCCGACCACCGCTCTGCCGGAAGATGAATCGACCCCCGCGCCGACTACCGAGCTGCCGGAAGTCGAGTCCACTGTTGCGCCGACGTCGACGCCCTCGACGCCGTACGACAGCACGGACGCGCCGACCGCTACCGAGGGTGCGACTGAGACCGAGGCCCCGACTCCGGCGCCGACCACCGCTCTGCCGGAAGATGAATCGACCCCCGCGCCGACTACCGAGCTGCCGGAAGTCGAGTCCACTGTTGCGCCGACGTCGACGCCCTCGACGCCGTACGACAGCACGGACGCGCCGACCGCTACCGAGGGTGCGACTGAGACCGAGGCCCCGACGCCGGCGCCGACCACCGCTCTGCCGGAAGATGAATCGACCCCCGCGCCGACTACCGAGCTGCCGGAAGTCGAGTCCACTGTTGCGCCGACGTCGACGCCCTCGACGCCGTACAGCACGGACGCGCGGACTGATGAATCAACCCCTGTGTCGACAAACCCTACCATTTACACCGAGGATGAGGTCACACCTGAACCTACTCGGGTTTCTGACGAGGAGAACGAGGTGTACGCACCCGAGTTTCCCAAGCTGCAATTCTTAGCGACTCCTATGCCTTCGACCCCGGTCGACATCGCCGACGAGTTGAATGCGCCTGTGCCTTCGACGGTTGCTGATGAGGCCGATGAGGCTTTTGAGCCCGAGTCCCCGAAGCTGCAGTATTCGCCATCCCCCGCTCCGACTGCTCCGGTTTTTAGTGGCGAGGAACAGATGCCTCCTGCAGCGGAGGGCGGTGAAGTCTACACACCGGAGGGCGAGGTCCCGTCGGAAGTTGTGGCGCCGGCACCTACGGCACCGATTTCTCAACTCGAGCAGGCATATCCCGTGCAGAGCAACCAGGGGCAGGACGACTACCGGCAGACGGATGTCAGTGGCGAGGACACCCGGACAGTCGATCAGCCCACGTCCGTGCAGCACCCATCCTGCGGATAGACCTCATAAAGCTTCCTCGTGAAGTCTAGCTGGTAGCTAGGCTAGTCTCCTAGAAGTGAAGTTGTATATCAGTCTAAGTAACGTAATGCATTTCTCTAAATCTTGTATGTGAGCAGTTTCTTACAAACCTTTGCGACAACGAATTGCGTACGTCATTCAGTCCTGCACTGTGACTTGCACGAATATTCCAGCGCCGTCCAATGGGACCATGCAGGCGTTCGCAGCGCCTTCTTATGCGGTTTTATCATGATAGTACTCGAGCTGAGAACTTATCGTTTAGCATGACGCGGAGCTGTAAGCCAGCATCTAGTGCAGTGCTGTTGGACTCGAAGTCTTGGTACCAGGAGGAGGCTATGGGATGAAACAATATCTCAGGCTGAGACAAGCGCCGCACAAGTTTCGTACAGTTCGTGTGTGCAGCTATCATTTATCGGCACGCCAGCTTCAATCCAAGCTTCAAACTAACCCCAGCGCAACAAGGATATGCTCATGACTCTCTTGTCGGTGACAGCCCATGCAGCAGTGCCAAGAGCTCGTTCATTGACTGCATACAGCAGTGCCAAGAGCTCGTTCATTGCAGACTAATCGAACGAACAACAACCGACTACCCAAAGATCTAGCCTCGAAGTCCTCGTCTCAGTGAGCTCGAACTCGACTGGTATCCAGCTGCAGCCACCGCACGTCTTGGTGAGCGGCAGGCAGGACAGCCCGCCGGTTTGACTTGTGGTTCCACCCCCCGCGTTGCCACCCAGCGCCGGCACCAGCCGGTAACGGGTCTCCGATCTATTGGGGGCGTGCACCAGCGAGCCCAGCGCGGAGCAACCATATCGGCGGCGAATGACCATTCTCGCCAGCAGTGGCCGGTGTCGGCACCGACTCGACTTGAGGGGATGCAAAAACGAGAAGTATCCAGCATAACGGACGGACAGAGCAACTCAACCGACGGACGGCAACCATCAGCAACGACTACGACTACATGAGTGCATGTTAGCTAGGCTGAGGCGTATAGAGACCGAGAGGATGGTCCTATGGCTCGTCAACCGGTCGAAACTAGTGCGCGCTCCAGCAGCGCACAAAAGGATAAACTAGTTTAAGCTATCGGCAAGCCGACACCGGCAGCATTCGGCACGGCGTAGTAATGCGTGAAGTTGCTGTCAGATAGCTGTCTTCCAGGAGCGTGCTGCGTAGCCACGCCGCTCGTACCCAGGGGTCAGAATGGTGGGGTTTCAGTCGCCATCCGGTCGCTGCGAACGGCGCCATGGCTGGCCAAGGCTTCAGGCGTTGCAGCGCGATAACTGAAAGCGAAACACTCGCGATTCTGGCATCGTGCTCGAATCTGAAACCCATTCCCCAATTTTCCAACTCGTTGGAAAGTTACCTACCCACCCCACTCCACCCCAACAGTGTACCTGAGCCTGTCAAGACACCGACCGAAAACCTCCTCCAAACATGGTGAAGATTGTCCGCTCCGTCGCGCTCAGCGCAGTGGTTGCTGCCGCCTTGCTCGCGCCCGCTCAGTCGACATCGTTCGAGTGCAACCCCGTGACCTACACGGCCAAGGAAGGTTGCGACCCGCAGCGTGCTGGACCTCCGGGCGATACTTGTGAGGTTTACGTCCCCGAATGCGAGACCGACAAGGCCGAGAGCGCTAGCAACAGCCGCAACCGCTTCTTGCGTCACCTAGAAGACGCGGCCAACGCGGACGTCTCGGACCTGGAGAAATTCTTCGGCGAGAGCTTGGAGCTGGACTTCACGACGCTGAAGAACGAGTACTCGTCGGCGTCGGCGGCGACGATTCCGTGGCCGGGCAGCTACTGGCCGACGTACCAGGACAGCATCAACGTCATCTGGAAGTCGGGCGAGGCCTGCGCGAGTGAGAAGTACGCCAACGCCTTCGGTCTCGACCCCACCGACTTCAAGAACAAGATCTCGGCAAAAACCGGCATCGACTCGCGCAAGAGCAGCACCGCCTGCTCGGCGGACGCAGACTGCAAGTCCCGCAACGACGGCAGCGTGTGCGCCAAGCGCAAGGGCGCCACCAGCGGCTACTGCATCCCGACGTGGTACGGCATCTGCCACGCTTGGACGCCGGCCTCCATCCTCGAAGCGGAGCCCAAGTGCGACGTCGTCAAGAATGGCCAGACGTTCCACGCCATGGACATCAAGGCGCTGCTGACGGACATCTACGACGGCTCCTCCATCAAGACGATCTTCACGGGCGCGCGCTTCAACGGCCCCGACAGTCCAGAGAAACTGGACGCATACGGGCGCTACAACAGCGACTCGCGCCGTGACTTGGGCGCTGGGTTCTTCCACGTCGCCATCAGCAACATCATGGGCAAGCACAAGCAGTCCTTCATCGTCGATGTCGTCGCCGGCGCCCAGGTGTGGAACCAGCCTGTCCGGTCGTACGATGTCCAGACCATGGAGCTCGTGGATGTTGCCACGGCCTCCAAGCAGTACTTCGGCAAGGACACGTACCCGTTCAACTCGGACATGGTGTACCTGGCGTACGTCAAGACCAAGTTCAGCTGGATCGTCGAAGCCTACGCCGATGGTGCGCTCGTCTCGACTGGAAAGGTCGACAAGTACACGGTCTCCAACGACTACGAGTACCTGCTCGAGCTGGACGCCAACTACGCCGTCATCGGTGGCGAGTGGGTGGGCGAGTCCAAGACCGACCACCCAGACTTCTTGTGGTTCCCGACCGCGAAGCCCGATGCAAGCACCGTCACCAGCACTGGTCTGAGCTACGCCAACGTGAAGGAGCTGCTCGAGCTGTCCGTGTCTTGTGGCGCTTCCGAGGGAGCGTCGGAGAGTGCATCGGAGAGCGCATCTACTAGCGCGTCGGCTGGTACGTCGGAGGAGGCGTCAGCTAGTACATCAGCTAGTACGTCGGAGAGCGCATCAGCTGGTACTTCAGCGAGCACGTCCGCCAGTGCCTCGACCAGTGCTTCGGCGAGTGCTTCTGCCAGTTCGTCCGCCAGCACGTCAGCAAGTACGTACACCAGCGCCTCCACCAGTGAATCCACTAGTGCGTCCAACAGTGCGTCCACCAGTGCCTCGGCCAGTACGTACACCAGTGCTTCAACCAGTGCGTATGGAAGTACGTCCACTAGCGGGTCCACCACTGCGTCAGCGAGTACTTGGGCATCAACCAGCGCGTCAACTGCGTCGGGAAGCTCTGAGGATGCCAGTGTGGCCTCGAACGCTTACGGAAGCGGAACCAACGAGGAGGCTTCAGCAGGATCGATCGGGTCGGCTTCGGCGTACGGAGAGGGCTCTAGCGAAGCTCGCAGCGCGTCGGAGACGGGGTCTTCCGGGTCTGCTGCCACCATTCCGACTGGCAAGGGCAAGGGCGGCAAGCTCGGCACCACCGACGCCACCGAGACGTACACCAGCAAGAAGGTCACGACTGAGCAAGGCGTTGCGAACCTTCCTAGCGGAAAATACGCTTTGATGACGCCAAGCACCTCGACCTCGACCTCCACGGGATCGACTGAGGGGGTCACTGCAACCAGTGCACCTAGCTGGAAAGATACTCTGACCCTGATTGCCACCAGCGAGAGTTCCACGGGCGGCAGCTCCACTGTTTCGTCTACCACAGACGATGAAGAGTCGACCGCCACCACTGTCACCGACGCACCGTCGAGCAGCGGAGATGAAACCACGTCGACGACGACGACGACGACGACGAACCAGGCTTCCGTGCACAACAGCTGCAAGTAAGCGCCTCGGGTCCGTAGCCAGTTTGGGCACCCATCTACATACTGCACATCATGACGTAGTTCTTGCATTTGTTAGAACGCGAAAAATACACGCCTCGTTTTGAAGTCATTTGGAAATGTGAGCATATGAGCAAGTTAAACCACGCTCGCAGCCTTCAAGTAGCAATAAAAGGATCGCAATTAAGGAAATATCAATAGGCACCACCTGATAAGCTGGACGCAATTGTCCAGCCACCTACGTGCGGTGGCCGAGCAGAGGCTCATCGCGCCCAGTTACTTGAGCGAACTGCTCCCACTGCGCCGGCGTGATACTGATGATGCTTTGTGTTGACGGGGGCAAGTTCTTGTCCTCTTCTCCCTCGTGGTTATCTGCCATTTCAACACAAGTTCTTAGTAAAAACATAACCCACTCACTCGTACACACCTCAGCTTTAGCAACTTACAGATGTAGGGCATCCCCGTCTCCTCATCAATGCCAACTTCCGCCGCGCTGTTACGCACTAAGAACGACGTGTCAAACAAATTCTCCACCGTCTACAACAACGGAACCCAGCACCAAATTAGCATCATCACCCCCACTCATCAACTTTTACAGCCACTCCACCCACCTGCGTGAAGCTCTTGGGGTTGATCACCACGTCGAAGAGCGGCTGGCGGCGGCGCGGCTCGCGCTTGCCCAGCGTGGTCAGCGTGGACTGCAGCACCTCGAGCCGGCGCGCCTGCGCGTCCTTGCGGTCCTTCTTGTTCGTGTACTCGGTGGGCTGCGCCTCCTGCGCGGCCGTGTCCTCCTGCGCGCGGCGCGCGCGCTTGCGCACCTTGCGCACGACCTCCGTGTCCATCAAGCCAAACAAGAAGCTGATCTCGGGCACCGAGCGGAAGCACGCGCCCGCGGCGTTGCCCAGCGTGTTCCAGTCGAACTGTCCGTGCTGCGACTCCATGGCGCAGGCGTCCTGCGTGGCGCGGATGAGGTCTTGTGTGTCGTACTTGGTGAGGTCGCTGGAGCCCAGCGCCTGCGACTGCTTGGCCACGGCCACGTTGAGCTCGTCCAGGTTGCTGGCGTCCAGGTTGGCCTCGCGCGGGTAGCACACGCTGTCGTACATGTGGTCGAGCTCCTGCGTGTGCGCGTCGAACGTGTCGCTCGTGAGCTTGGCCAGGTCCGAGGCGTTCTCCTTGATGCTCTGCAGCAGCTCGCGCTCCTTGTAGCGCACGTGGCGCCGGTCCTTCTCCGTCAGCTGCGAGTTCTCCAGGAACCCCTTGCGGGTGCGCACGGGCGCCTCGCGCGGCTTGGCGCGGCGGCGCGGCGCGGCGTCGGACTCATCCTCTTCGTCTTCGTCGTCGTCTGGGACCACGGCGCGCTGCGTCTTCTGCTCCTCCTCGCTGTCCTCGTCGTCTTCGTCGCGCGTACGGCGCCGCTTGCCCATGGTGTTTGCCGCCAAATGGTGTGGTATACAAATGGCAAGTGAAATGTGAATGTTGCACCAAGTGATAGCCTACATTCCAGCAACATGCAGATTAATGCATTATTTTTCAGCATAACTTTAGGAATTCATTGGTCATGAGAATGGTGGCGGAGATGATTCGAACAAGATGACGCAGATACTTTTGAACGGGCTGGCGCTGCATGCAGTCCCGCGGTGGCAGTGCTTCCGTGTGATTAGTGCGCGTGTTGAGCGTCACGCTGCGGTTGACTCGCGGCGTATCGGCCCTTGAGAAGAGCTCTTCTACCGCTAGATGGCAAAATGATCCCCACGAGTTAAAAGCGACTGCATGGACACCAGACCACTCACTGCATTCTTGCAACGGACCGATGGTGTCAACGTCATTACGTAATACTACTACTAATTAACTCTCTCTCTCTCTCTCCTGCTTCACTCGGCTGCCAAGGGCCGAGACGCTGCCTGCCTGCTCAGGGGGAAGCCTGCGCCTCATTCAGTGCTTGGGCCTGGAATAAATCTACTATTGGTGGAGCTGCTGCGCGGGGAGGGGGCGCGCTTGCCAGCGAGTCGGGCTCTGGTCGACGCTGCCGTCGACGCCTTCACCATTTGAATCGCTGCTGCTGCCGGCGCCTTCCATACCCCGCGGTCCTGTGCTGCTCCTGTGTTTTGGTTGTGTTTCACGCCCTGCTGCCGACTGTGCGAGCTTGATAAACTTGACCACGCCTACAACTCGACAGCCAGCGAATCTCGATCGCGCGCCGTGCTGTATCCCTGCTCCAGACTCGGTCGACGACCTATTGACCTGTTGCTTGAGCTTGGTCGGCGGTCCGTCGTGTAGCTGCCGGACAGGATGCGCTCGTTCGGGTAGCTGCCTCCGGCCATGCCGGCCAGGTCGCCCGAGCTGTTGCGCATGTGCACGGGAGCGAGGCCGATTCCTAACCTATCCGCGCTATCGCTGTTGGCCGGGTTCGCGTACATGGGCTTGAACTCGTTCGTGAAGCTACCCGAGCTCCCGGAGCGCGCGTGGCCGCGGGTACTTGTCGGCGCCTGCGAAAATAGAGTCGGGGTTGGAATAGCGCCAGCGCCCATGACATCCGGGCGCGGGCGGGGGTACTGCTGCTGGTAGTAGCTAGCGTCCGCCTGGTCGTCCTCGTTCTCGTACAAGCGGTTCCGCGCCTTGCAGTAGCACGACAGCACTGACACGACAGCCACCGTGAAGACCAGCACGCCACAGCAAATAATTAGCGCGATCTGCCATGTCTTCAGGCCGTTGCTGCTTGCTGCTCACATGCATCCACCCGAAACGTCAATAAAAACCGTCGCTAGATACCAACTCGTTAACAGTCACTCACATGTGTCGGTCGTTCCGCTGCCGGCATCGCCAGCGTTGTCGCTGGAGCTCGAGCTGCTGGTCGTCGTCGTTGTTGTAGAAGTGCTCGAAGTGCCGTTGTTTGTGTCTGTGGTGGAGGAAGAAGTACCAGAGGTTGAATTCGACGCAGTACCTGAAGTAGCAGCAGGAGACGTAGTGGCGGGCGCATCTGTAAGCGTTAATTCATCCAGCCAGCGTCATAGCAACAACAGGGGCATTACCATAAATCGAGATGAGAGGAGAAGCAACGACGCCAGACGCCAAACGAAGCAAACAAAATAATAAAAACACAAACCACGATAAAATACAATAGCAGCACAACAAAATCAAGCACACAGCACGTCAGAACGAACGATACCCCCACATCTCCATCAAGCCACTATGCTTCTTTACCTGTCGTGGTAGTCGTGGAGCTGGTCGAGCCCGTCGTCGACTTGGACGACGTGGTCGACTTGGTGGAGCTGCTGGTGCTCGTCGCCGACGACCCCGACTTGGACGACGTCGAGGATGAGGTGCTGGACGAGTCCGACGAGTACGTGCAGTCGCCGCAGTCTGTGCCGTACGTGCAGGTGCCGTCGCTGTTGATGGCGTAGCCGATGACGACGCCATTAGTCTCCGAGTAGCACTGGCCGCAACTGCAGCTGCCGGAGCCCGTGCGCGTGGCCCCCGACCCGGTGCAGCTGCATCCAGCTGTGCCCCCCGGCCCGAAGCCCGTCAGCTCGGTCGTGTAGCAGATCTCAGCGCAGGCCGCGGCGTCCACTAAATCAATACATAAAAAAAATAAATGGTTAGCACTGTCATAGCCAACAGGAGGGAGGGGCACTTAGGGGGGTTAATTACCTGGCGCTGTCCACGCTGAGAGCGCGACGCTGGCCGCCAGCGCGGCGAAGACGACCCAGGAGCGCATGCTGCCGGCGCGTTTAGGCTTGTGCTATTAGCGCGTTGCTTGAACTGGCGCAAGCGCTTGGCGAGAGACAACGGACAAAAGCCACACGACCGAACAGACGCGCGGGCGGAAGCGGGGCGTGAGTGGCTTGGTGGCTTTCCGCTCCAGCAGCCGGCGACGACGCACCTCAATCAATGACACGGACGCGCTGACCACAAGGCGACGACCTCCCGCAGGCAGGAAGGCAAGAAGGTGATCGATCAATCCAATCGGTTACGATTTACTGTAGCCCGCCGCCAAGCCAAGTCTTGGTCCAAGCCGGCAGGAAGCGTGCGCCAGCGGGGAAAGAGCGGGGGGAACGATAATGAATCCTTTGCCAAATGCTGGCCAACTCGGTCCGAATGTCTCCAGGAGGGAGAAAGGGCGGAAGTGGCGCCGATTACGGTGACGTGCAAGTAACGTGATTCAGTGTTCTGTTTAGTACAAACGTGCTGGATAATGATTTATGTAGTGTCATTTTACTGTATTAGGTTAGATAATCGCAGACGACGCTTCGAAATTCAGGTGTACCGGGAAAATGGTACTGCTCACGTGACACCTTCGTTGTTGGCGATGATGACAGCCCGCCAAGCCAGACGCTGCGGGGGCCAAGTGCCTCTAAGATCGCGGCAGCCGGCGGCGGCGACGAACACTTTTCATCGTGGTGCTTGCATGGACGTGTACAGTTCATGCAAAGTCGCCGTGGCGGGGAGCAACTCGCCGCTGGCCGACATGCCTGACTTGAGTGAGTAAGTGAGTGAGTGCCTTGCGACAACGGTGATCGCCGTCAAGATGGGGCGGGGCGCACGTTGAAGTGGAACCCGCGCCAGATTGTGGATACCCAAGCTGTGGGCCACCGAGTCGAAGGCCTTCGGTCGACGTGGCGGCGAGTGGTGCCAGCCATGCTCGTTAGTGGCGAGCGACTCCGGCGTGGGTATGTGGAATTTTTCACGGGCATCTCTCTGCAAGCAAAACGCCGTCGGTTGCTGCTTGATCAGCAGCGAGCTCGCGGCTGGTTGCGAGTATGGTGTTGTATACTAAATAGCGCAGCGAGGTGGCCATCGAGGTCAGTTAGCTGGCTGGATAGTGCTTGTGAGCGGGGGACAGCCTACCAGTCGTCAGGAGGCTCGGTTATTCCTTCCTGGATAGGCGAGGGACACCCGCGCTGGTGCCGCACGGGCTCATCATGTCCATTTTGGGCACCGCCAGCAAAGCGTTCAAGTTGGGACAAAATGGAGCAGTCTTACATACAAGCGAACTAACTAGTTTATTTGATCGTCATAATATCGGAAGGTCGGTTCTCGGGGGACACGTTGATGTCCCCCGCTGTCCTCCTTCTCGTGAATTGGTGGACAAAATCGGAGGCTGCACTCACTCGAGGATCGTAATCCGCCCTTCGTGCTCGGGATACGCCAGTAGCCGCTTCTTCATCATGAAATCGGCCACGACCTCGGGGATCTTGGCGGCCTCGCGCAGGACCTCGCCCTTGAGCCACGATGAGCAGCCGTCACCTCCGCCAGCAACGAACTTGGACGTGGCCACAAGGAGCTCCGCGTCCAAGTCCACCGGCTCGCCATTGTCGTTCAGCATTTTGGTGACTGCAGGCGGGTTGGACTGCATGTCGATGGTCAGCTTTAGCCCAGACACGTGCGGGTGTGAGCCGCTCTGCTGCGGGTACTTGTACAGATGCTGGATGAATGCGTCGCGCAGGTCGCTACCCTTAATCCGGACCAGCACAGCAGGCCGCGGGAACGGCATCTCGTGCTTGAGGATGCCCACAGTCACGTTCGACTTGGCCAGGTACTCCTTATCTCCTCGAATGAATCCGCCGTTGATGAAGCCGATGTCAGCAGCCAACTCGCTGCGCAGTGCGTCGGCCACCAAATTGCCTGCGTTGCTCTCCCCTGCTCGTAGAAGAGCAGTCCGAGTGGATAAGGTGGTCGCCAGCGTAGCGAGGACGCGCTCATTCTGCTCGGGGTCATTCGCACTCTCCATTTCGCGCATGTATTTGTAGATGATCTGCTGACACGCCGGCTGCGGCGGCATGCGCGCGTTCGCGATCATACTCCACTGCGGCAAGACTGAAAGTCCGCGTTCAGGGTGATCTGCTGACCGATACAATTCAAACTCAAGCTTCGCCAGCCAGAAGGCGTTCTGTCCGGACTTGTGAATGAACGTCTTGCCCTCGTACATCGTGAACGGTTCGTGGTCGTGGCCGCCGAGCATCACGTCGATGCCAGGGACGCTCCGCGCGAGCTTTTTGTCCTGTGAAATCGATAAATGCGTGAGAGCCACGATAAAGTCCGCTCCTTGCGCTCTAAGCTCATCCACGCATCTTCGCGAAGTTGAGAACACGTCGTCGAACTTGACCGTGGATCCAGGGAACGACAGCGTCGGCGTCTCCTCCGTGCACACGCCAAAAACGCCCAGCTTCAATCCGTCCTTCAGCGTGATCAGCTCCGTATCCACCACGCCATCAAAGAGCGCACCCGTTGCAGCGTTTAGCACATTGGACCCAAACCACTTGGCCGTCGAGTCGCGCATGCGTGCCTTGAGCTCGTCCGCGCCAAAATCAAACTCGTGGTTGCCCAGCACCACGTATTCAATACCCAAGTGGTTCATAAGCTCGATCATATGTGCACTGTCAAGCGCAAACATTCACAAAATACAATTTAGTACACTCAACAACGTTGTGCACCACCAGCCAGTGTTCCCTTTCAGCTCACCCTTTGAAGTGCTCGCCCATCTCCGAGCCCGAGAGGAAGTCTCCGTTCAGCGTCACGAGCAGCGTGACGTCCTCGGGCAGAGCCGCCTTCTGTCGCTCCAGCAGCGTGGCGAACTCTGCCATGCCGCCGTGGCCGTGCTCGTTCGGGGTCATGTCGTACACGTCGTTCACCGACAGGATGACGAGCTTGGCCCTCTGGTCGCCCGTGGGCGGCTTGGCGGGCTCAGCGCTGGCCGGCACCTGGTCCGGAGTGGCGTCGGTCGCGGTAGGCGAAGGCGGCAGCGGGTCTGTGGTCTCCGTCATGGCGTCGAGGAATAGTAAGAGTGGACAAGATTGGGATAATAGGACAGCTCAGGTCTGCGCCGTGGCCGAATTGGGAGTGATCAATGCAGCCTGTAACGATCCCATGGCGAAAGCTGAAGAAGATGGCGCCACGGGATTGGCTGAAATGCGGTTTTGGTGGTCGGACACTTTTGATTGGCGCAGCTGCGACATGGGTTGATTGTGCGCATGGCTACATGATAATACTGTTCCGGGCGCGCTATTTCTGGCAACAAGCTGCTCGTGCATTACTGCGGACGAGGGTTTGGTAGTAGTGGGAATATTGGCTAGTAGTCATACTACTACTTTCCAAATTCTGGCAATAGTAGAATGATATATCTATTAGTAGTGAGGCATCGGTGGTACTAATATGACTACTAATATGACTACTAATTATGACTATTTGACCATCATTCCGAATTCCGACCGCAATGGTGCTTACTGGCCTCCATATGCGAAGTATGAACTACAACTGTAGGTGCGCACTGGCCGTTGTCATCCTAAGAGGATCCCTCACGAAAGACCCGGTTTAGACGCGCTTGGCGACGAGCAGCGTTCAAGCACGAGTAAGTTTTCGCGATCCTCCGCGAACCAACAGCACACGTAAATGCTTCCTCAAAGCTGCTCAACCCTCCAAACCTTTATATTGCGTCTTCTATTTCACACGATCTTCGTTATTGCACTCTACCTTGCCTGAGTATTGCGGTCGGCGCATTGCTCGGTCACAAGCGATAGAGTGAGGTACTTGATTTAGAGTAAAGTGATGACTTCTGAGTAACCTCGCAAATGCCTTCTGGTTTCTTTGAAAAGATGCCATGCCCAGTATGGCAACCTAGAAAAAAGAGGAGGTAGGCACAGCGCAAGTATACATGAGGAGGAGATCATCGGCATACATGTACTAACGAGAAGAGGTTAATAGGAAAGTTAAGCGTCGTCAAGCCAAAGACTATACAAACACCACCCCAGACTGCTTGTAATATGCTATTCACTTCGCTTGTGACAGTGCAACAGCCAGCACCTTACGTTGATGTATCTAGCTTCTAGTTTATACAGCAAACTAACTCCAAAAGAAATAATGTACTCGAAAGTTGAAGCATGTTACTCTTACTTAGAAGTTAGGAGAATACTTGGGAGTAAGGACGATTCTCAGATGTACAGTTGAGTGTAGGCTCCTGGGAGTAGGCATCTCCGCATTAAAGTCCCTGGTAACACGAGTGCGGCCGCAAAATTAGTATGGCGAGCTGCTTAGTACAATTGAAGCTACAAAGGCAACCACGAACAGCAGTGTTACCTTTGAGATAACGTTAGCTTGCATTTTGTCACACAGCACGTTGTTGCACAAATGATGCACCTGTCGGCCGCATACACAGCACGGAAAAGTCTCCGATATGGCACTTTGGTGGCAATCACTCTTCGCGCATTTCATGGCACGTTTGCGTGAAGTTGGAAGCCTAATGAGGGATCCTGACTGGTGCGTGGCCACTCGTGCGATCTGCCGTCGGTTGAGGAATGGGTACATTAGTAGTGAAAATAGTACTACTATCCATGTTTCGTTTGGCTACTATATAAATAGTACTACTAATGGCTCCAATCCCAGAGCTATAGTAGTAGTAATAGTAGTAGTAGTATGCCTACTAACGCTACTATTCTGGAGACTACTACCAAACCCTGCTGCGGACGATAATCATTTCGCGGGGCTAAATCTGTGCCCTCGTCCTCATCACTTCGCTGAAGCCTTGATGATCAATGTGTTCAAGTCAAGAAACAGTGTGGGGAGGGCACAGTGAGTATATTTCTCTTTAGTATATCGATCGGTTCGTGCTGGTCAAGAAGATGAGGTCTTCTGCCCGAAAGCCACTCCCGAATTCCACGCTACTTCTACCAAAACTTTATTTCTACCTTGCCTGCTCCCTTAGAAGAGCTTGCTCACGGCATCGCGCACGCTGGCATCGTCGGCCTCGTTGGCGAGGGTCACAGTCAGCTGTGGAGCACAAAGCACAACACGAGCACAAGTTAGTATCTTCACCTCAATAGCCCCGATGCCTGACGCAGCAATGAACGTACCAGAGGGTCCGCCTTCATCTCGCGCTCGATAGCGAAGCGCGCGTTGGCGTTGCGTGCCCAGGCACGACGAGCCACGCCGTTGTTGACGTCCCAGCCGAGCATGCACGCAGCCTTCTCGCGGGCGTCCTCCGAGCCGTCCAGCACCATTCCGAAGCCGCCGTTCATCACCTCGCCCCAGCCAACGCCTCCGCCGTTGTGCAGCGCGATCCACGTAGCGCCACGAGCAGCGTCGCCCAGCGCGTTGTGCACCGCCATATCGGCGCAGAAGGCAGAGCCGTCCGTCACGTTGGAGGTCTCACGGAACGGGCTGTCGGTGCCGCTCACGTCGTGGTGGTCGCGACTGAGCACCACGGGCGCCGAGATCTCGCCGCTAGCGACAGCAGCGTTGAAGGCCATGGCGATCGTGCCACGACCCACGCGGTCGGCGTACAGGATACGAGCCTCCGAGCCCACGACGAGCTTGTTGTCCTCGGCCGCTTCGATCCAGCGCAGGTTGTCACGCAGCTGAGCCGCCACGCGCTCGGGCACCTCGGGCTCGGCCAGAAGGTCACGCAGCACACGCGCAGCAATCTCGTCCGTCTTCTTGAGATCCTCGTGCTTGCCCGACGTGCAGACCCAGCGGAAGGGGCCGAAGCCGAGCGAGAAGATGTCGCCCATGATGTCCTGCACGTAGCTCGGGTACTTGAACGCCGTCGTGGAAACCGCAGCCTCCTCGGGCTTCACACCGGGACGCAGCACATCAGCACCGGCACGCTGGGCCTCAAGCAGGAACGAGTTGCCGTAGTCCCAGAAGCGCATGCCCTTGGCGGTCAAGCGGTTGACAGCGACGGCGTGGCGACGGAGAGACTCCTGCACCAGCTCCTGGAAGCGCGCGGGGTCCTCGGCCATGACACGCTGGGACTCCTCGAAGGTGAGCTGCACGGGGTAGTAGCCGCCGTTGTACGGGTTGTGCAGCGACGTCTGGTCCGAGCCCAGCTCCACCAGCAGCTCGCCCGTAGCCTCGGCCTCGTCAGCGAGACGCTCCCAGAGCGTGACCACGTTGCCGTGGTAAGCCAGACTCACCACCTCACCCTTGGCCTTGGCCTCACGGATGCGAGCCACGCACGCGTCCAGGTCGCTCACGACCTCGTCCACCCAGCCCTGCTCGTGGCGCTTCTTCACCGCGGACTCGTCGATCTCAGCCGTGACGGAGATGACGCCCGAGATGACGCCGGCCTTGGGCTGAGCGCCGCTCATGCCACCCAGACCCGAGGACACGTACACGGTTCCGCGCGTGTTCTCGCGCTGCAGGTACTTGCGGCAGGCGTTCAGGACGGTGATGGTCGTGCCGTGCACAATGCCCTGCGGACCAATGTAGCAGTAGCTGCCGGCCGTCATCTGGCCGTACTGCGTGTTGCCCATGGCGTAGGCCTTGTCGTACTGCGCGCGCGTCGAGTAGTTGGGGATCATGAGGCCGTTGGTGACGACCATGCGCGGGGCCGCCGGACGGCTCGGGAAGAGACCCGCGGGGTGGCCCGAGTACATGACGAGCGTCTGCTGCTCCGTGAGCTCCGACAGGTAGCGCATGGTCAGCAGGTACTGCGCCCAGTTCTGGAAGACGCTGCCGTTGCCGCCGTAGGTGACGAGGTGGTTGGGGAACTGCGCGACCCTGCGGTCGAGGTTGTTCATGATCATGAGCATGATGCTGGCCGCCTGCTTGCACTTGGCCGGGTACCGCTCGATCGGGTACGCCTTCATCTCGTACTGCACGGGGCGGAAGCGGTGCATGTAGATGTGGCCCTCGTCCTTGAGCTCCTGCGCGAACTCGGGCGCCAGCGTGGCGTGGAACTTCTCGGGGAAGTACCGCAGCGCGTTCTGCACCGCCAGCACCAGGTCGTCCTTGGACAGGCCGTCGATGTTGCGGTGCGGCGCCTTGGGCACCGTCGGGTCCGGGTGGTTGCCCGGGTGCGCCGGCAGCTCGGCCGGGATGCCGACGCGCAGGATGCTCAGGTCCACGGACGGAGTCGAGGCCATTGTGAGGAGATGTGGAGGCGGTCGCTTGCGAAGCGCGCGGTGGGTTGAGGAATGAGCAGCGGCGGCATTGGCGGCATTTGACGGACGGGTGCGATGCACGTCAAGAGGCGTAGCCGATCTCAAGGACAAGTTGACGTTTGACGACTGTGTATTCTGATACTTGGCTACGGTGGTATGACACACTTGTATTCTCTACGTACTTGGATCGATATATGTTTATTAGAGTATGTTTATAGTGTTGTCCTGTTAGTACCTATATCTGAAGCCATTTTAGTTTCAGAGGTCAATTCTGCGTCTAATCAATAGTGGAAAACAGTACATCGCTCGATAGAGTTGACAGAAATTACGCCTTCATATACTGACATAACGATATTTAGCACATGTAGTGCTATGTTAAAAGTCAAGGGCAATGATTACTCTGCAAAGCATTGAATGTTGGTGTCTGCTACAACAAAAAACATGGTTAGTTGGTGACGCGCGCCTCGTGTCCAGGTAGGGGGGGGGATGGGCAAAAGCGACTTAATCAAGGTCTTATGCGCCTCTATCGGGCCTTTAACGTTGGGCGGCCAATCAGCGCCCGCCTTTACCCCACGAATCAAACTAAATAATGCAGTTTCTTATTACTTAATACTAAAAAAACTGATAGTGCGGGTCATGCTAATTGCGTATCCATACTAACTGTAAATAGCGAAACCAGGATAGTACAGTAGCAAGGTCAAATGACCAAGCTATTTTATTTACTCACCTACTCACCCCTCTACGCGAGCCCTAGGCAAAATACAGTATGACGAACACACCAAGACAAAGCAAAATACAGCAGAGCACAACACAGCAAGCCGAAACGACGTGGAGCATTGGAAAGAGAGAATGTTCGGCTATCAACACAAGCCACTGGATAATTCGTCGAGTGTACAGAACACACCGCCGAATGGTGATATCATCACTTACGCTGCAACAAGGATACTAGATTTCAGCTCATGCAAGTAACTCAATAACCTTTTCCAATATAAAAAACAACACAGCAAGCCCTGGTCCTGACCTAGACAGTATATTTAAGCCAAGACTGATCTGGTCCGTTACAAGTATGCTAATCAGCTGGCTGGAAACGTTACAATTTTTCCTAAGTATTATATTTTGTTATAAATTGCTTTTTCTGAAACATGCCAGAACACATTGAGCTGCGACGCGTTTCCACACGACCCACATTACCTATTCAGCTTTAGCGAGTACGGTACCCACGCTAGCTGCATATTTACCGAACGCATGGGTGGTTCGGCACAAGGCGATACAGCACGAAGAGATACCTTCTGAGCAACCTGATGATCTCCGAGTCTCGGAGTAAAGCCGCGAGCTCTGTATACATTCAACAGTAGCTAGTTCCCAACCACCACGCTCATTCCATTGGACGTCGGCTGATTCAGCAGCCAGAGAGTGTAGTGCGTCCACCTAGGTAGCCCGGTGGACGTAGCGAGAGAGATAGAAGTGCGAGGCAGACACGCCAACAGTACCAGACAGCTACTGGCCGTCGGACCAGACGTCCTTCGGATAGGAACGGTGGGGAGGACACATTATCGGCGACCGGCACCCCCGGATAGGGTCTTTGGGCTGTGTCCCGCAGGTAATCCGTATTTCTCTATCTACTTCGAGCTCAGGAGCTCAAGCCCGAGCGCGGCGAGCGAACTCCCTTGCCCTTACGATCATGACAGGCTTCGCAGTTCCTGCCACGACCTCTGTGGTCTCTAGCCACAGTCCCCACCACCCTACTGTGTTACGCCCTCATTGTGCACCAATCATCCTAATCTCTGCCTCACCTTTAGCTTTACTGGAACCCGTGTACGGCGCCACTCTCTTGCTGTATTTAGTCTTAACTACTCGCCGACCGGGAACAATCTCAACTGAGGGCCGAGCGGTCAGCCGCACGCTCGTTGCCCCCACCTACGAAGCCTCCTATCCTCTACCTACGATAGGGCCCTTCCTAACCTATCTGCTCTCACTGTCTCTCAGCCGCACGCCACTCGCTCCGTCGCCGCCTCTCCTATCTGCATACTACTTGTCCATCGCTCTTCACCGTGTCCGCCCTCCTGCGATCTTTTGCATGGCCGACATCTGGCCTTGAAGTTGTAGGATACCGCCCGCAGCCGGTGCCTCCAGCCCACTGACTCGCCTCCGCCACCATCCAACTGCCGCTGCCACACTTCGCGCCCCGACTCCTCTTCGTCACTCGTTCGTCAAGTCGATGACGACTCGAGTGCGCTGCTACCGCCGTCTGTTAGCCACGCGACAGGCCGCACTACTACAGATTCATCATTACCGTATTCGAATTGCTACTAGTAGTAACTTTCGCGCATGTTATTTTGAGCTACTTAAAGCATGCAAAAACGTTAGTAAACTCAAGTAGTTATTGAAGACGCCACTCGGTTAAGCCGGAAAACGAAGTTCCGTCAGAAAGTAGGGATCGAAATAGCGGTCGTTGATAATCATTTACCAGCTCTTTTGCTTGCTCTCGTCTTATTAGGTTGTCATCGCCCCAGAGCACAGCGTTGGTTCTGCACTGTGAGTTTCGTGAAATAATATTGTACATAGTAAGGATGATTCTGGAGCGCAATCCAAAACACGTTAGGATTATTGCAATGCTTTTGGACACATACCGTAATCCTCATGTCAAAGGTGGTGAGGAAAAACAACGGTACTCGTCGTTCGCCTTTGACATGAGCATTACTTACAAGAAAAAAAATCCAAGAGTGAACATATGTATTGGAGCCTTGTTAAACGACAGCGCTGTCAATGATGTCCTCCCAGTCAATAACGCGAAATGCATCTAGCGCTTCTGGCTGCTCTACTACGTTGTTGATGAGGGGCTGAAGCTCCGGGTCTTCGTCAAGCTCTTCGCCTGCAGGATCTCCGGCCGCATTGGTGTGCGCGCATCTGCGAAAGCCAGCGGCAATTGTCGTCCGTGGTAAGCCCTCCCACGCGCGAACCACCCACTCCATTATCGTGCAGCGTTGGGGGGCTTTCATCTTGAACGTCTCCGAGCCCGCGTGTACAGCAAACTCCTGAAGTTGCTCGCGCAGATAGTGTACCTAGTAGCCCCTCAATCGATCTTTCATCGGCTTTATCCATACATCATCAGCCGGTTGGCTTAACCAGGTCAGACCAGGAGGCACCTTCTCCAGGAGGATGTTGAGCGATCTAGCATACTCATCGACACCATCGACCCAGTGGCCGCTAAAGTCGTCTAGAAGCAGCATAATGCGGGGGCTGGAAAGATCGCGATCACCAAAATGGTAGCGCAAGAACTCCATCGTCATGCTGCCAGTCCACCAAGCCGATTAGTTGCCATAGACTTGAACGTCATGTTGTTGCTGAAGCGCTTCAACTTCCTTCCAAACATGTCGTCCAAACCCGTGGCGCACCCGCTCATTTTCGGCTCGAACGTCGGGGACCTTTGAAGGTTTAGACTTCAGCATCACGAATGGCGTGTACCGTAAACCACGGGTTCATTGCAACAGGGGTAAAAAGTCCTTGTCTATTAATTTTCTTCATAGTTTTTACACGTGAAAAGTCAACTCGCTCCCTGAACCAACAACCCCTCCTCTGCTCGCGCAAAATGACATCCGCTATTTTACTTTTCGCGCGCAACATGCCCAGCAGCCCAAAGAACACCAACAAGAAAAAGCTACAAGTATGTATTTACTTTAAGGTTCTGCACCTACTGATAAGCTAATATTTGCTGTATCTGTAGGCACTCAAGGTGCTTTAGGCGACAAGTGCGACTGTAGTGGCAGTTGCGTCTGCTGTTGGGGTCAACCGGTCGACGCTTCATCGCTGGAAGAAGGACGCCAGTCGTATCGCTGAATCGAGCCCCAGTCAGTGCTTTGCCGGCCCCAATGCACGTGCTCACGTATACGTCCAGCAGCCTGAGCTCGAGCAGAGGTATGGTTCTCAAAACATGTATGCCTTTTGAATTTTTCTAATTGCATTCTGATGTCGTTAAACGTATGTAGGCTACTCGAGTGGATTGTCAACGTGCGCAAAAATAGATATCTTTGTGTGTCTACCAACTGCCTACTGCTTATGCACTCGAAGTTCGCCCCCGCCCTCTTCGCGTCACGGTCCCGGGCGGCTAGTTTGATGTTCATCCGTCGTTTCCTCAAGCGCAATCGGCTGACGGTGCGGCGGATTACTCACAAGGGCCGTAAGAAACGGTCGGATATGGAGGTAAGCTACGGTTTTGTTCAATTGAAGGTGATTACTGTTTTCTAACTATTTGACTACTTATGTATGTTTACAGGAAGTTGCGAATGTGTTTTCGCACTCTATCCTGCGTACCGTAGAGGTAGATGGGACCAAACGGCTGTCTATATTGACATGAATGGACGCACCACGGTTGACTTCGTGGGCGCTCAAACGGTCGACGTCGTGCAAGGTAAGGATGTCATTTTCAGTACGTTATGACGCTTTACTAACATTTTGAACGTACATGTAGGAAGCGCGATAAACGGCTTCCGAGTGTCCGTGTTCCTTGCTGCGTCGGCCACGGGCGAGAAGCTGCCTCTGTTTATTGTTTTTGCAGGTGTGCCCGGCGGACCCGTATCCCAAGAGGTGTTCAACCCTGCTTTTGGAGCGGCGTCCGCCGAGCATACCGTGCAGACGAACGCGTACTGCGACGCCACGGTCATGCTGGACTGGATCGAAAGGGTACGTGTTTTGGTATGCTACGTGTATTGACATTTACTAATTTGACTTGGTTTCACTATGGGTTTGGAAGCCGTCAGTCGACGGATGCAAACTACTGATTCTGGACAGCTTAACAACCCACAAGATGGCGTCGGTCCGGTACGCCTTGCAACAAGAATGCTGCACGCAGGTCGAGTGACTGGCATATGTCAGCCCATGGACGTCTCTGTGATGAAGGCTTTCAAGAACCACATTATGTACGTACTCTTATTCTTAATTATACTGATGCTGTCATTTACTTACTCTGTGCTACGTTTTTAAGGAATGCTTACCTGCAGTATCATCTCGAGCACCCGTTTCTGGCGACTGCGCGCGAGAAGCGAGCCCTGATGTCACGCCTTGTGGCCGAAGCCTGGGACGCGGTACCTGCCACGGTGATTACCAACGGCTTCATCAAGGCCGGCTTGATTCCAACCGGCCCCCGAGACCGCAGTGCCCGCTTCCGGGTTCCCGATGTGTCGGCTAGCAATGCGCCACTTGTATGCGATGAATAAATTTGCTTTTCCGTTTTTTTTTTCAATAACATACTTTATGTGGCACAGAGTGGGGGTGTCACCCCTATGATTAAATCTTTAAGAGTCCTTTTTTGGTGTTTTTACGGGGTGATGCACTACCCGTGGTTTACGGTACTTGTTCCCGTCAGAATCCCCGATGTGATACGCTCCTTGTCCTTTTTACTGCTTTTCACCCAAAAGGTTATTGCGTTTATTGAAGCAAGAGTAGCATGTCGAGGAAGATGCCAGTTTGGTCAGCGTTGTAAATTCTGGTCACCCCTTCAATGTACGCGCGGTGTCGGACCTTTTTAGCGAATTCTTGAGCCCGCAGTTCAGCATCGCGTGGAGTTTCCTGTCCGTGGCGTGTCTTTACGCGAAATGATAGCCGATGACGCCAGGTAAAACTGCGCCGCGACTGCCAGGATGCCGAAAAGTGCTCGGGTAGGATATCAGCTTCTTGGCAAACTCGCACGCCTGCAGCTTGAGCATCATGGGCGAGATTGGGAATCCCTCGCACCTAAAGTCGTTCACCCACTTGACGATCCGCTCCTCGACGTCGGCTGGCAGTGTGAGTCCTATGCCGGGTGGTCGGGCACGGAATTGAGTTGCTAAACGCCCGCTCCGGGCACGTTCTTCAAGCGAGTCGAGCTGCCGACGCCACTTGTAGACGGGCTTCGCCTTACTGATGACTTTCTTCGCGCCGCTTATACCACTAAAGTAGCGGTCGAGGGTGGCCGTCATGCTTTGAGACTCGTCGAGGTGGCGAAGGACTTCCACCTTGAAAGCCACCGAGTAGGCTTGATAAACGAAGCGCGTTGGCTGGCGGCCATTGCCTCGGACGCGCTGTCGGCCGCGCCGCATGCTTGAGACTGCAAGTTGAGTTGTGAGAGCTGGAGGAGGTTGCACCGAGTAGCGGGGCAGCAGATGGTAGCTCGCCTCCAGGTACAACACCAACCAAATCTAACTCGTGCCCACCAACCGCCGCACCAGCAAAAATCTCTACTCCTCCACCAACCGATTGTCACGATACTCAGTACACTTTTTTTTCGTATTTGTGGGTTGAATGTATACAGAGTTCGCAGCTTTACTTCGAGACTCAGAGAACATCAAGAGTAGCTCGGAAGGCATCACGTGCCGAACCACCCATGCGTTCAGTAAACATGCAGCTAGCGTGGGTACCGTACTCGCTAAAGCTGAATAGGTAATGTGGGTCGTGTGGAAACGCGTCGCAGCTCAATGTGTTCTGGCATGTTTCAGAAAAAGCAATTTATAACAAAATATAATACTTAGGAAAAATTGTAACGTTTCCAGCCAGCTGATTAGCATACTTGTAACGGACCAGATCAGTCTTGGCTTAAATATACTGTCTAGGTCAGGACCAGGGCTTGCTGTGTTGTTTTTTATATTGGAAAAGGTTATTGAGTTACTTGCATGAGCTGAAATCTAGTATCCTTGTTGCAGCGTAAGTGATGATATCACCATTCGGCGGTGTGTTCTGTACACTCGACGAATTATCCAGTGGCTTGTGTTGATAGCCGAACATTCTCTCTTTCCAATGCTCCACGTCGTTTCGGCTTGCTGTGTTGTGCTCTGCTGTATTTTGCTTTGTCTTGGTGTGTTCGTCATACTGTATTTTGCCTAGGGCTCGCGTAGAGGGGTGAGTAGGTGAGTAAATAAAATAGCTTGGTCATTTGACCTTGCTACTGTACTATCCTGGTTTCGCTATTTACAGTTAGTATGGATACGCAATTAGCATGACCCGCACTATCAGTTTTTTTAGTATTAAGTAATAAGAAACTGCATTATTTAGTTTGATTCGTGGGGTAAAGGCGGGCGCTGATTGGCCGCCCAACGTTAAAGGCCCGATAGAGGCGCATAAGACCTTGATTAAGTCGCTTTTGCCCATCCCCCCCCCCTACCTGGACACGAGGCGCGCGTCACCAACTAACCATGTTTTTTGTTGTAGCAGACACCAACATTCAATGCTTTGCAGAGTAATCATTGCCCTTGACTTTTAACATAGCACTACATGTGCTAAATATCGTTATGTCAGTATATGAAGGCGTAATTTCTGTCAACTCTATCGAGCGATGTACTGTTTTCCACTATTGATTAGACGCAGAATTGACCTCTGAAACTAAAATGGCTTCAGATATAGGTACTAACAGGACAACACTATAAACATACTCTAATAAACATATATCGATCCAAGTACGTAGAGAATACAAGTGTGTCATACCACCGTAGCCAAGTATCAGAATACACAGTCGTCAAACGTCAACTTGTCCTTGAGATCGGCTACGCCTCTTGACGTGCATCGCACCCGTCCGTCAAATGCCGCCAATGCCGCCGCTGCTCATTCCTCAACCCACCGCGCGCTTCGCAAGCGACCGCCTCCACATCTCCTCACAATGGCCTCGACTCCGTCCGTGGACCTGAGCATCCTGCGCGTCGGCATCCCGGCCGAGCTGCCGGCGCACCCGGGCAACCACCCGGACCCGACGGTGCCCAAGGCGCCGCACCGCAACATCGACGGCCTGTCCAAGGACGACCTGGTGCTGGCGGTGCAGAACGCGCTGCGGTACTTCCCCGAGAAGTTCCACGCCACGCTGGCGCCCGAGTTCGCGCAGGAGCTCAAGGACGAGGGCCACATCTACATGCACCGCTTCCGCCCCGTGCAGTACGAGATGAAGGCGTACCCGATCGAGCGGTACCCGGCCAAGTGCAAGCAGGCGGCCAGCATCATGCTCATGATCATGAACAACCTCGACCGCAGGGTCGCGCAGTTCCCCAACCACCTCGTCACCTACGGCGGCAACGGCAGCGTCTTCCAGAACTGGGCGCAGTACCTGCTGACCATGCGCTACCTGTCGGAGCTCACGGAGCAGCAGACGCTCGTCATGTACTCGGGCCACCCCGCGGGTCTCTTCCCGAGCCGTCCGGCGGCCCCGCGCATGGTCGTCACCAACGGCCTCATGATCCCCAACTACTCGACGCGCGCGCAGTACGACAAGGCCTACGCCATGGGCAACACGCAGTACGGCCAGATGACGGCCGGCAGCTACTGCTACATTGGTCCGCAGGGCATTGTGCACGGCACGACCATCACCGTCCTGAACGCCTGCCGCAAGTACCTGCAGCGCGAGAACACGCGCGGAACCGTGTACGTGTCCTCGGGTCTGGGTGGCATGAGCGGCGCTCAGCCCAAGGCCGGCGTCATCTCGGGCGTCATCTCCGTCACGGCTGAGATCGACGAGTCCGCGGTGAAGAAGCGCCACGAGCAGGGCTGGGTGGACGAGGTCGTGAGCGACCTGGACGCGTGCGTGGCTCGCATCCGTGAGGCCAAGGCCAAGGGTGAGGTGGTGAGTCTGGCTTACCACGGCAACGTGGTCACGCTCTGGGAGCGTCTCGCTGACGAGGCCGAGGCTACGGGCGAGCTGCTGGTGGAGCTGGGCTCGGACCAGACGTCGCTGCACAACCCGTACAACGGCGGCTACTACCCCGTGCAGCTCACCTTCGAGGAGTCCCAGCGTGTCATGGCCGAGGACCCCGCGCGCTTCCAGGAGCTGGTGCAGGAGTCTCTCCGTCGCCACGCCGTCGCTGTCAACCGCTTGACCGCCAAGGGCATGCGCTTCTGGGACTACGGCAACTCGTTCCTGCTTGAGGCCCAGCGTGCCGGTGCTGATGTGCTGCGTCCCGGTGTGAAGCCCGAGGAGGCTGCGGTTTCCACGACGGCGTTCAAGTACCCGAGCTACGTGCAGGACATCATGGGCGACATCTTCTCGCTCGGCTTCGGCCCCTTCCGCTGGGTCTGCACGTCGGGCAAGCACGAGGATCTCAAGAAGACGGACGAGATTGCTGCGCGTGTGCTGCGTGACCTTCTGGCCGAGCCCGAGGTGCCCGAGCGCGTGGCGGCTCAGCTGCGTGACAACCTGCGCTGGATCGAAGCGGCCGAGGACAACAAGCTCGTCGTGGGCTCGGAGGCTCGTATCCTGTACGCCGACCGCGTGGGTCGTGGCACGATCGCCATGGCCTTCAACGCTGCTGTCGCTAGCGGCGAGATCTCGGCGCCCGTGGTGCTCAGTCGCGACCACCACGACGTGAGCGGCACCGACAGCCCGTTCCGTGAGACCTCCAACGTGACGGACGGCTCTGCCTTCTGCGCCGATATGGCGGTGCACAACGCGCTGGGCGACGCTGCTCGTGGCGCTACGTGGATCGCGCTGCACAACGGCGGAGGCGTTGGCTGGGGCGAGGTGATGAACGGCGGCTTCGGAATGGTGCTGGACGGCTCGGAGGACGCCCGCGAGAAGGCTGCGTGCATGCTCGGCTGGGACGTCAACAACGGCGTGGCTCGTCGTGCCTGGGCACGCAACGCCAACGCGCGCTTCGCTATCGAGCGCGAGATGAAGGCGGACCCTCTGGTACGTTCATTGCTGCGTCAGGCATCGGGGCTATTGAGGTAAAGATACTAACTTGTGCTCGTGTTGTGTGTTGTGCTCTGCAGCTGACTGTGACCCTCGCCAACGAGGCCGACGATGCCAGCGTGCGCGATACCGTGAGCAAGCTCTTCTAAGGGAGCAGGAAAGGTAGCAATAAAGTTTTGGTAGAAGTAGCGTTGGATTCATCACCGAGGGGATCTTCGCAACCTCGAAGCGAACCATATAATAAAGAGAAATACAGTCACTTGGTGCCTTCGGTATCGGATTCTGCGTTGACAACAAGTTCTAAGGTGAAGCCTCAACTTTGCCGTTTGAACTCGCTGGAGCACCGCTGCACCGCATCCAGTTCGGATGGTGCCGCACGAAGCAAACAACGCACCTGCAGCCACTGTTGTTGCGAGTGCTTCCCCACTCGAGCATAATACCTCGAGAAATGCCGCGGCGACCAAGCTGTCGACGAGGACCACGACGATCACCATATATGTATATCTCATTGCGAACAGAGCGAGGTTGCTGCCAAGCACAACTTCAGTCAAGCCGCAGTCGTCACCTTTCTGCTTGGTCAACACCCGCGCTCCATGCAACGTCAGCAAGCTCGGGTGCAGTTGCCGTGAATGCAACGTGGTCCCCGCAACTTCAGCTTGGCAAAAAACGTGAACATGAACACGGATGTAAATGACTGCACCAATTGGTGTACACCTTAGTGAGGGGTTAATCAGTGGAAACATCATAGAAAATTCTAGTTCAATGTATACTTTACGCGTCGGATACTTGACATATTTCACAAATTTCGTCCGGCTTTGGTCAAAAATGAACAAGGTGTTCAACACACCGCTGCCCGATGACACCCAAATTCGAATAGACACGCTTCCCTCCGCCGTCGTCACTACCGGATCGACCGCGACGCGCGCAAGCCATGGCCGATTCCTCCGCCCCATCAGGCGCCGACGCGCAGTTCGCCAAGCGCATCCTCGTGACGGGCGGCGCCGGCTTCATCGGCTCGCACGTGGTCATCCACCTGGTCACGCGCTACCCGCAGTACTACATCGTGAACCTGGACTCGCTGGACTACTGCTCGTGCGTTCGCAACGTGCACTCGGCCATCTTTTCGTGCGGCAGCGAGTGCGAGCTGCAGGCGCGCGGCGACAGCACGGAGGAGGACGAGGTGGGCCGCGAGGAGGAGGTGGACGACGAGGTCTGCGAGCGCCTGCGCGGCAGCTTCTGCGAGCCCGGGGATGAATTTGTGAGCGACGAGTTCTTGGCTATTTTACCGAAGAACTACAAGTTTATCCACGGCAGCGTCACGAGCGCAGACTTGGTGGGCTACATCCTCAAGACGGAGCGCATCGACACCATCATGCACTTCGCGGCGCAGTCGCACGTGGACAACTCGTTTGGCAACTCGATCGAGTTCAGCAAGACCAACATCCTGGGCACCCACGTGCTGCTGGAGGCTGCGAGGCTGCATGGGGTCAAGAGGTTCATTCATGTGAGCACAGACGAGGTGTACGGGGAGGGGAGACCCGACTCGGCGCCGATGACTGAGGACCACGTGCTCGAGCCGACCAACCCGTACGCGGCCACGAAGGCTGGTGCGGAGTTTCTGGTCAAGAGCTTCCACCGTTCGTTCGGTCTCCCGACCATCATCACGAGGAGCAACAACGTGTACGGACCGCACCAGTACCCCGAGAAGCTCATCCCCAAGTTTATCAACCAGATCCTGCGCGACCGACCAGTGACGATCCACGGCGACGGCATGCACACACGCAACTACCTGTACATCTCCGACGTCGTGGCGGCCTTCGATCTCATTCTACACGAGGGAAAAGTGGGGGAGGTCTACAACATCGGCGGCGAGAACGAACTCTCCAACAAGGAGGTGGCGATGGATCTGCTGGAGGCGATGAAGCCGCAGCTTGTCGGAGCTGAGAAGGCCAAGATGATCACACACGTGCAAGACCGGCCCTTCAACGATCACCGGTACACCATCGACGCGGCCAAGATCCGTCGGCTGGGCTGGACGGAGAAGGTCTCGTGGCGTGACGGCCTGCGCAAGACGGTCAAGTGGTTCTGCCGATATGGTCACCGCTTCAACAACATCGACCACGCGCTCGAGGCCCACCCGGTCAACTTTAAGAAGACGTACAAGATCAATCTACCCTAGTCGAGAGCGCAACCGAGTGTAGCATATAAGCCCCCCAGCGAGAACAACACGTCCACCACATACAGTAGAAGATGCAAACTTTTCTACGTGTACTACATCGTAAATGTACGCAACAATCGTTGCTGCTCTATGCAGGAGTGAACAAACCATACAGCAATCTAACAAAGCTACGGGCTGGAGCCTCCAGGTAACAGAAGAAAATCGTGCCTGAACGTTCGAGGCCTAGATTAAAGTACCGGTACTTTGGTGCTGCAAGATCTACAGTACTTGATGCGCTCTTTACACGGAATGCCCGCTTACTTGAGGCAGTCTTACCGTTTTTTTGTTTTTGCGCGCAAACACTTTCCTCTATGAAGACACTGCATCAGCTCCCGTTTATAGTGGAGCCACAGAAGCTTTAGCTCAGGGCACATTATGTTCTGGTGGCTCATTTCGGTGTCGACTTCTAACGATTCTCAAATTTCCTAGACGAAGCTTCCTATTATCACGCCCATCCTTGTATTGTTCACCGGTATGAACCCGTCGGCTCCGTCGTATCGCTAACTCGTGGCTGTATCACGCTGTCCCGGGCAAGTACTCTTTCGCCAGTTCGATATCGATCGTCTTGGCAGGTCGCAACGGCCATGGGCGCGGCTCGAGCTGTTAGCACATCGAAATCATTAGCTGCAAGCGACACTGTACTTTGGCAGCAAGAATCCCCTTTCAAGTGAATCCATACAAGCGGGTAGGGCCGTAAAGTGCTTCACTCACTAAATCCACTGCTCTTGGTCGCTGCTATCAGAGGACTGGCGAACTACCTACTTCAGCTTGAGCAGCTAAGAGCTGGGCAGACCGCGCACTTTGAAAATCGAGTCCGCCGTAGGTCAAATTTCCGTTGCTGAGCACTCCTCCTCCATAACGGTAGCCGATCATTAGCAGCAGTTTGGTATGAGCTACTCTGCGGCTTCATCGCAAAAACTATTCGCTTCGTTGGTCTCCGTCCACTGCGCACTTATATGTGACTTGTGCAACCACTTCAACAACCTGACCATTCATAGCGCTTTCCGCGGATTACCAAATGCACGAAGTGGCGCTTAGCGTTTGACATTCCGACATGGAAAGCGTTGCAAGGGCTCTTTGGAGACCCGTAGCGATGAAATTGCAGGACCAAAGCTGGCTTTATCTCGCGCTTTCCACGGCTTAGTCGCGCTCAGGAATGGCAGGTATCGCGGCAGTTCACTTGCCGGAGCCCCCATTTCCATATTCCCGCAGCATTGCACTCGCTGGCGTACCGCTCTCAGCGCTGCGTGGCGCTGCCGCCGCACCGCATGCATCGGAACCGTTTATCGAGTGCAGCTACCATCGATACAGGTTGCCGTACGGGCAATCCACACGAGTTTGCAGGGCCCTCATTCCTCAAAATTCCTTGAGCACAACACCCAAGCAAGAGATCGAGACCGTGACAGTGGATTCACCGACCAACAACCATGGGACGCAACCGCCATCATCACCAGACCCGAGCGACTCACTACGACCAGCGTGAGACACGAGACGCGGATGAATACGACGAGTCCAAGCGCCGCAAGATGATCCGCTGGATCAAGTCGCGCTTTGGATACGTCGAGCCAGAGACGGCTCCGCATCCGCGCGACCGCAGCAGCCTCAGCAAGAGCGGACGATCTCGTGGCAATAACAGCTTTTCGCTCGGATCCTCGAGCAGTGGCAACCCGCAGTACACGCCATCTTGCCGTACGGACTACCGCACTCACGTGTTGATCATCGGCGGTGGAATCGGAGGGCTCTGCCTGGCTCAAGGTCTCAAGAAACATGGCATCCCTTTCACGGTGTTCGAGCGCGATCCGTCTCCCAATTATCGCACTCAGGGCTACCGCTTGCGGATCAACAGCGACGGGTACCAAGCACTGAAGACCAACCTCTCGCCCGAGAACTTTGAGGTGTTCCTTCGAGCCACAGGTCATTTCCAGCCCGGCTTCAAGTATCTCGAAGCTGAAAGTGGTGCCCCTGCTCCACCTAACGCGCAGTTCTCGCACAAATCCGGCATCACCAAGAACGTCTTCAGCGCCGACCGCGCCATGCTGCGATCTCTGATGCTCACGGACCTGAATGAACACGAAATCCGGTACGGGATGGCCTTCAAGAGCTTCCATGTGCAGCCCAATGGACGTGTGGAGGTCACCTTCGAGAATGGCATGACCGTAGAAGGCAGCGTGCTTGTTGGAGCCGACGGAACGACTTCGCGTGTGCGCCGACAGTACGTACCGCGAGCTGCCACGCTCCTGGACACTGATAGCGGTGCCATCTACGGCAAAACGAAGCTGACGCCCGAGATCGAGAACTTCTTCGAGACCGACAAAACCACCATGGTCATCAGCAAGGAGCCCCCGATGAGCCTCGTCATGGAACCTCGCTGCAATGTGCAGGCTGACCTGAAAGAGTTTGCGGCTATCTCGAACACAGACGTGCCGGATATCCAGAACTACATTTGCTGGGTCCTCATCGCTCGCGCACAACACTTCCACCGGAACGAAGAAACCACAGTCCAGGATCTCTTCTCCATGAAGCCAACTGAAGTCGCCAACTTGTCGAATGACATGACGCGCAACTGGTGTCCAGAGATCCGTGCGATCTTCGAGCACCAGTCACCAGAATGGAGCTCTTTCCTGCGCATATCGACCATGTCCCCGGAAATTCGCCACTGGCAGCCGTCCACGGTCACGCTGATCGGAGATGCAGTGCACACCATGGCACCGGCAGGCATTGGCTGCAACACGGCTCTCCACGACGCTCAAATGCTGGTGAAGTATTTCCGTGAGATGGGTGTCGGGGTGGATGCTATCGCGCAGTATGAACACAACATGCGTCAGTACGGCTCCGAGGGTATTGCCATTAGCATGGATGCAGGGAAAATCATGTACGACCTACCGAGTGTCGAGGACATGCGTGCTGTCGCCTACTGATCCTGGATGAGAATCACTCAGCGTGAACTGTTACATATCTTCTTGAATAACTCGCTTGAATTACTCGTTTCTCTTACGATGTATTACTTGTTGTGGTACTTGTGCGGCTTTCCTGCTCCTTATTTAATTCGAACAATGCGTACTTTGGAGTTGGCAGGGACAATAATGATCAGCTTTTCTCGAGCCAACAAGGATGTATGAGGGAACGGCGCAACTCGAGCAGCAGAAATCTCTTCGCAGCTCGGCCAAACGATACGCCTGTCCTTGTATCTGGCGCAGTTCATGTATCACTCCATCGCAACAAACTTGGTGAGCGCAATGGGCTGTCCTGCTTCAGGGAAGGGCTGCCCAGCCAAAGCAGTGGAGTCAGCGCATGAAAACCCGAGATGTTTTGCTGCCGAACAAACGTTTGCCAAGCCCCAGCCATAGATGTTGTTCGGGTACTCCTGGTATGTGGTATTACCACATTCACTAGGAACGAGGAAAGGCTTGTGTAACTTGCGCGTCGTCGTCTCGGTGAGACTTTGCAGGACCTTCTCGTACGCTGGTGGTTTTGCCACAGAGATTTCTTCCGAGGAATTATACAAACTGAGCAGCAACGCGACAGCGCCAGCCACGTGTGGCGTCGCCATGGAGGTTCCGGTGAGCCGCGTGTATGCACTGTCCTTGACGCTCATAGCCGACCGAATTCCGACTCCAGGAGCAACGAAGTCAGGCTTGATTACATACTTGCTGCTTGCGGTCGTCACACTTTCGCTAAAGTCATCCTCCAGACTCGGTCCCTTCCCACTCGCACCCCAGAGCGAACTTCCCCCGATCAGCGCACCCACGGCAATCGTATCTTCATGACTGCCGGGGTAGTACACACTTCCACACAAGAATCCGTTGGTATTCCCACTTGCAAACACTGGGTAGACGCCAGCCGCGCGCCACGTATCAATCACTTTGCTCAGCCACGTCCACTGCGGGTATACAGGTGTCGAGCGGTCCACTCCAAACGAGTTCGTCACCACATCCGCACCAAGCGAACAGTCTGCACCCGTGCCGTCCATCTTGGTGGGGCACAACACCCACTGGGCTGCCAACAGGAAGTCGCTCTTGTTTGCCGCTCCCCAGATATCGAACGCCCGTGCAGTGATCCACGTCGCCTCGGGCGCTACACCAACTCCCTTCCCGCCCACAGCAGTCCCCATCGTATGGGTCCCATGACCGACTTCGTCCGCGGTATCTGGCGTCTCCTTGGACATGTCCGTCCCAGGCGTGAACCAAAAGGAGTAGTCAAAGTCCACTGTCCCGTCCTGCTTCGTCCCTGGGTAGCAACAACCACACAAACACGTTAGCCATAAGAACATGTACCATCCTCACAGCCACTCTACCTCTGAACGTATCTCTCAGAGCTTCGTGGGTGTACCTCACGCCCGAGTCAATGCTGGCAACCACCACGCCCCTCCCTTTAGCTCCTTGAGCCCAAAGCTGAGGGGCGTGGAGCAGCTTCACATTGCTCTGGGGCTCTCCAGCTGCCCCTCTCTCCTCTCCAAAATCTTCTTCATGCTGCGCTCCAATGAGCCTCAGCACTTGCGTGTCTTCCTCCACTTGAATCACCCCCGGGAAACTCCGCAGCCCTGCCTCGACAGAGAAGAACGTCTTTAACTCTGTATTGTTATCGCTGTACCGGACTATGAGCGTGTTCTGCAGCCAGAGACGGGAGACCACTAAGTATCCGTCTTCAGCGTCATTCTGAGCCTCGATGAAGCTCGCGACGCTGCGCTGAGCGTCGTTTACTGCGCTGGAGAAGCTCTGGCACACGAGCTCTCGTCTCTCGGAGGCCCCGAGACCGGGCGAGAGCGCGAGATTGCGCGCGTCGAGCGGCGGGTGCAGGTGCACGAGCACCACGCGGTCGTCGAGGCCGCGGACGAGCTGCAGCGCGAGAGAGAGTGAGGCCAGGAAGAGCGCGAGATGGCGCCGGATGGGGGCCATCCTCGATGGATGCGGAAGTGCGACTCAACGGGTTGAAGTTGAACGTGGTGTGGCGCACACTGTTTGGGAGGACTATTTTTTGTGGCCTTTTGAAACCCCATTCGACGTTCCGGTGGTGATGGGTTGCTAGCGGGGTATGTGATAATAGAGGCTGTGGAAGGTGGGGTTTGACTGGATGTTGTATGAAGTCGACGAGTGATAGAGCGATGTGGTTTCGGAGGCCTTGAAAAGATATAGGTCGGCTGCGAGATCTTTTAGGGTATATTATTTTTTGGTGAGACCTTTTTATCTCGGGCTTTGCAACTCTTGCAGCTCTGCGCCGGAGCGATTTCTGTCTCATGAGGAGCGTGTTGACGATGGCTTCTCTCCGCCAGCCAGCCCCGTTCGCGTCGTCGCGATGAGAAACATCGCTCCATTTTCACCTTTCTCCGCCTGCTGGCGGTTTTTGTGCATTTGTGTGCGTTTCTCCGAGTCCACCTCCCCAAAAACCCTGGAACGCGGGGGCTCTTTGATGTATGAGTGTGACACCGCGGGGGTCCCAACTCGCTCAAGCAAGCGCGCCGACCGCAAATGGGGCCGGTGGCTGTCGCTCATAGCGTAAGTAACCGCACTCAAAGCAGCCACAACTCGCCTGTAGGCCTTCCTTCTCTTTGCTGTGAGCGCTCGAGCTCGTAACGGGGGAAAGACAATACCAGGGGGCAATTCACTTCACGCTTCGCTACCGCTACAATCTCACCCCTTCCAACGCTCATAATAAAATATCCACAAAATTCATTTTCACTTGATCTTTGTATGCCCGTCAGTCGGGCGCAGCAGTGCTCCCTTTTTCGAAACGCCATCTCCAATCCAATCTTTCGGCTCGCTCGAAAAACCCACCGGTGGGAAATACAGTCGACCGCCCGCCCCTCGACGGTCGCAGCTCCATCATTCCACGACAGTCGCGCGCCCGCGCACTCGGCTCAGCACCCAGGCACAGGCTCCAAGGCGCCGCTATCCCTCCCCACGCTCGAGGCCATCCGCCTCCCTGCGCCTCGTTATCGCTCGGAGCCGGGCCCGTCTTCTCTTCGCAGGGGAATTCACAAAAAACCGCTCGGCTGCAGACGGGCACCGCCGCCAATCGATAAGCAGGCACAGTCACAGCGCACAGGTCGCAGGCGGATAATCCAAAGTGCCGGCCGGACGCTTGAGCAGCCGACCCGACTGGATGGTGTGGCTGGACCCGACGTCGACGCTGCGCTGCGCGAGCGCGGCGCTGCTGCCGCCCATGCTGCTGGAGGTCGTGCTGGCGGGCGGCATCCTCTGGCGCGCCTTCCACCAGCTCTACTGGAACTCGCACCCGCGCCGCATCTTCCTCCACATCGTACGCGCAAATACTAAACGATCTCTTCATTCTTGTAGACATATTCTGACGGTACGGTGGCTTGTGCGCAGGTTCTGCTGCTGTCGTGCGTGCTGCGGCTCGTGTTCTGGCTGGGCATGTGCAACTCCAGCGTGCTGGCCGCGGGGGTGGCGTGTCTGTGGTGGTCCAACTCGATGGTGCTGCTGTGCACGGCGGCCGTGATCTTCCAGTGGTCCAGCGCCGTGACGGCGGGGCGGGTCACGGCCCAGGAGCTGCAGCGCTCCAAGCGCCTCACGGCCATGCACCCGCTCGTGTTCCTGCACTCGCTCCACTTGGTATGGACGACGGTCATGGGGATCCACGTCATCGCCCACGGGTTGGACTCCCCCAGCAAGATCGACGACTACCCGGAAGACGCCGACGCCCTCCTGCTGACGTACCGGATCATCAATATTTCGACCCTGGCCTTCGACGCAGTGGTGGCGTGCTACGTGGCGGTGCAGCTGAGAGAGAGACTGCTGTCGGCGGCGATGGCGGACGACATGAAGAAGAAGTCGGTGGTGCAGATGACGCTGCTGATGGCTCTACTCACGGCGTCAGTGACGCTTCAGATCATCATGGACGTGCCGGTGTTCGTCTCTGGACTCAGGGAGTCGTGGTCCTCGCTGAGCTTTGAGGGCTTCTGTGTCGTCAAGTACTTCGTCCCGGGCCTGCTGTTGAGTCTGGCGTTCCTGTACATCATGCGCCGTGTCGAGCAGCGCGAGCCCACGCGGATGATCGTGGTGCCGTCTCGGTCGCTAGTGGAGTTTGTGGAGTGCTCGTCGCCCGACTGTGTGTGGTGCGCGCACCACCGGCGCTATCATTTGAACCAGAACAAGTGGGATGTGACGCTCATGACGTCGTTCTCTCCGCGGACGGTGGACTCGAGCTTCCACTCGTCCACTCAAGCGAACCTTTCGCAGGGCTCCTGGTCGTCTGGTAGCACGCCCGAGCCGCACCACTACGTGGGCAGAGATAGCCACCACCGACTTCACCCAGGACACCAGGCGCACCAGGCTCACCAAGCTCACCATGGGCGTGGACACGTTTCCTTCCCCGTCCAGACCCACGGAGACTATGAAGCTCCGAGAGAAACTCCAGAACGTCGAGGTGCGCGCTACAGCTGAGCTGACCAGGCCAAGCATTTGATGCTTCCACAGGTTCAGCAATACGACACAACATCCAATTCTGCCTCGAGCAGATTGACTGGCATCGAAATCTTCTACGAAAGGAGAACCATCGCGACAAAGCTCATCCGCAGCTACATCAAGCCAGTGCTGTCGGGCAACCGAGAACGAGTATCGCTGCAGCGAAATGCCTCATTATTTATGATGTCGAGAAACGAAAGCAAGCCACCGACACTGCGGGATCTACAGCTACGACAAGCTAAACTACGAATACCTCAATATAATGGATCCTCGCACGCTCAGCTGTTCTCGTGTTCTCGTGCTGCATGCACATTTTCGTCAACCGAAGGCGGGTTCGGCTCGCGCGTTCCGTTGAACTGCCATCGAAAGGCTTCGGCTTGCGATGGTCAAAGCTTGTGGCCCAGAGCATGGATGGATACTAACGTTATAGTTTCCAGACAGTTTCGTAGTAGATGTATGGAGAGCTCAAAACGCTTAGTGCTGGCTTCCTGCGCTCATGTTCGTGAGCGAGTGACCAGCCCACGTCTAGGTTGAACTAACTGTCGTGCCCCTGTGGTCTGACGCGATGCATATACTTTTACGAGTTCAACTGGACTCCTCTCGTAGATGTAGATTCTGGTGTACTACATGTAGTATGCGAGAAGTCTACGATATGACCAGAACGGAACGAACTCTAGCATTTCCAAAGCTTCAAAACGAGAACGGAGTAGTACATTTTTGATCGAGGTGAGCCTACCCAGTAGTGAATACAACAACATGCACCAGGTTTTCAACACCACAGCTACTTTCCGAGTCGAATGAGCGTCAGGAAGCTCATGCCACTGAGACTGACGGGGCATTTGACAGCGAACTGCTGGCTCTTCTCAACTCGAGTGATGCACGTCAACGTCGTGGAGCTGCAGTAGCCCTCCGTGAAGCCACAATAAGCCGTCTGGATGCACTCAGCGCCCTTCATGAGCTGGATGGCCGCGTTGGCACTTTTCGACTTGTAGTTAACCACCGCCGTCACGTGGTACAGACCTGGCAGGTTCATGCGGACGATGCCGTCGGCATAGTTGTTCCAGCAGATCCAGTCCGCCACTTTGGTCGTGGCTTGCATCTGCAAGGTCGAGGTCGAGTCTTGAGACGCCGTCAGCGTCTTGAGCTCCTTCTTGAGCTCTTCGATCTCCGTCTCACGAGCGTCCACGTCCTCCTGCAGTAGCTTGGCCGACACCTCCAGGTCTTGCAGCCCCCTGCTGTGGTTGGCAATGACCTCCTCGCTCTCCTCGCGGAGCTGCTCGACTTCATCCTGCAGGTCGCGCATCTTGGACTCCAAAACATCGATGCGTTCCAGAGAAATGGGTTCCATCTCGATGGAGTAAGTCGCAACACGCGACTGCTTCAGCACTTGGAGGTTCACCGTCACTTCCAACTGGAAAACTTCCCCCTTGAGACGTCGGAACGCGGTCCGGGTCGTCTTGAGCACCCTCCAGCAGCTCGTAGAAATACTTTACCAGTGAAAATAAAGTGGTTCGTTAGCTTTCATGAAAATCGATGTTTCGTGAAGAGGTAATCTTTTACCTCCACGTAGTCGGAGGCTGTAGCGCTGGGGATGGCGTTGGAGGCGTTCACGTAGTCCTCGAGACTTAACTTGGTCGTGCACCTAGTAGAAGTGAGAGAAACAATATTTCAGAGAACTGCGCAGCATTTTAGTGAGAATGTGTATCTGCAGCTACTTGCCACTGTTTCTTGCTCTCGCAGTTTTCGAGCCAGATGCGAAGTTTGCCGCTTTTGAGAGACATCGAGTAGCGGTAGGTGGGTGACGGGGCGGGAGCGAAGGTCGTAGTGCCTTCGAACTCAAGAAACTCGTCCGATGTGCCGGATTCGGGGGTCGACGACGTTGTCGACTTGGGAGACATGGTCTCCGGAGTGTACGACGACGACTCCTGGTTGCTTTCCGGCTTGGACATCGTGGTGGATCAGTGATCCAGGATCACCAGAGTCTTGCGCTGCTCGACGCGAATCGAAGAATGACACGCGCTTCCCTTCTTCTTCCTCGCCAGGCGACAGTCGCAAGCGATCTTTAGCGAGGATGGGGGAAACGCATTCGTTCGTAGCATTCCTGCCAACCACTCCGAAATGCCAAAGAACACATTGACAAAGTTGGTCGAGCACTGTCTCCAATGAAGTTCTGAGGGCTACGTAGAAGTAACTATTGTACTCTAACGGGGTTGGACGGAGCAGGATAGCGACCGACTATTTTGAAAGCTCTTTTCCTCTGCCTATAAAAAGTCGAGACAGTGGCAAGAAGAACTCGCATCTTCCTCTCCTCGAAGCCGACAATGACGGCGCACGATGTCGAAGCGAAGCCGCGCAAGGCCATGAACCCGGACCGCCTCCGCAAGCTCATCGACTCGCCGAGTATCGCGAATGCAACTCGTGACGTCCCCATGGCGATCGCCAAGCGGCAGACTTTAGTCACCTCGTGGAACGGGGAGCAGTGCGACGTCCGTCCATTTGGCAAACTGGCAGCTCCAGCGCACGTCGTTCTGGCCAAAGACCTCCGAGAGTGCGCAATTGGCGACGGAAAACCCGTTGCAGTGGTGCCCAGCGGCCTGCAAATGAGCGATGTCACCGTCCGGTAACGAAAAAGAAGGAAAAAAAACTTTTCACGTGGTAAACTTTCACTCTAACCAGCCTAACTTACTTGTATCTACATCTACATGTAGTCCAAAGGATCAAGATGGATTTACCGCTCCGTTGTTGGCCAAGAAGGAAACTTTCGCTCATGCTGCGGAGATTGAGCACCGGGTTGTACCCGGATCCGTGATGTTGAGTGAAGGTATCATGACCCCACAGCAACGACGAGAGCGACTGCACTTTGAGACGGACCATCTTCACGCCAAACGCGCTCTGCATCGAGCTGACATGAACGACCGCAGACTACACCAGATCATGTGCGTTTAACACCTCATACATAACCTGGCAAACTGGGTGCTTGTCAACCAGGTACTGATGATGTGGTTGAGTTTCTTTTTGCAGTAAGGAGCGACACTCGACGTCGGACGTGTTGGGGGCACAGCAACATGCGTCAAGTGCAACAAGAGTCCGAGGTGAAGCATATAAGCCGGATCTGTTAAGGTAAGCGTAACCTCGCGTGAAAATCTAAGTAGAGAAAATGCACTTAACCGCTTTTTATCCATGGACAGTCACGATGCAACTGGAGCTTCTCGACGCGAGTACCAGAGCAAGAACTGCGAGGCAAACCCGCGGTTACGGCACCACGACAGACTTTTCAACGAGACTCCGCTCAATTGGAACCAGCAAAGGTGCTTCGAACTTGCCTTTCGCTTTTTAACACTAGCCTAAACTAACGTGACCCTGTATTACCGTTCAGAGCGCAACATTTACGCAACGAAAGCACCGGCGGACGTTCGTACGACATCGTGAATGGAGGCAGGGTGGAGTATTACCCGCCTACCATCCCGGAGAAGCAACACCAGTGGCAAACCCACCCATCCGTTGGCATCCATCGATACACTCGCTAACTCCGGCAACAACCATAAGCAACACATGCAACAAAATCTCTAACCGGCAACAAATTCCTTCATCTCACAAAACAAACTGTCGGCATAATTTCATTTGTTGCTTTCAAAGGGGGCGGGAAACTTCACCTAAAAACTTAACTGCATGCACATCCATAGTATACAGACTCCTCCATCTCTCTCCTTTTGCCCCTGTTTCTTTCAATTGTCCAGCTGGAAGTCCCCCAGGGGGGCGTTCACGACCCCTTCCATGAAGGACACGACCTGCCCCCCGCAAGTGACGAACATCTTGTCGGACGCGAAGCCGCGGCGACTGGGAGGGGGCACGTAGCCGTACGCCGGCGAGTAGTTGCCGCCGTCGCTGAGCTTGCGCGGCGGAGACGCCGACAGCGACGACGAGCACGTGGACGTGGAGGACGGGGACGACGCGTACGTGAAGTCGGCGGCCACCGCCATCTGGCGGGGCGAGTTGCGCGCCCAGAACTCAAGACGCTGGCGCTGCGCCGTGAGGTGTTTGAGGTCCTGCAAGTGCAAATGCAAACGGAGGTTAGATACACCTAAATCGTGAGACACGTCGCCATTTAGGTGGTATTAACCAGGTTGCCTACCTGCACGGACATGCCGCTGCGGATCTCGCAGCCGTCGAAGGCGTTGTTGTTGCTGCTGGGCGGAGACGCCGAGGCGTGGTGGCGCGGCTGCTTGGTGGCGACCATGGCTCCTTAGGTAGGCTACTCCCGGCGGCGTGGGCGAGAGTCCGGTCAGACACTTGTTGCCTGCGGCAGATAAATCTTTTGTGTGTGCGCGAAGTTGCCACGGCATCTTGCAGGAGGTCCTTCGAGGGGTTTCGGTCTTCGAAAACGGAAGCGAGCGAGTTGAAGCCGACCGGGCCATAGTGAGACCGAGTCACATTTGCCAGAAACGCGCGCGAAAACGGCCTTGAAGATCTGTCACTCACAATCGCACCCCTTCGATTTCCCGCCAATCAGCGCGCACTGCAACTTGGCTCACCTCAACCTCAGTCCGCCGGTCGCACGCCCTCACTCGTGACCTGGAAGTCGCAATTCTCCGCCGGCAGGTGCGGCGAGAAGGCCACCTCCAGCCGGCGTCGGTTCGAGTCTGTCTGCCTCGTGATCATGAGGCTGGTTGCATTTGCATTGCATCAGTCAGAGAGTGAGTGGCAACACTTGCAGGGTTTGACAGGGAACTTCTGGTTACGCACCGCTGGTTGACGCAGTGCGACCACGAGAGACCGAGCGCCGGACGCAGCGCGTTGCCGGTGGAGCGAGGGTCGAAGTCGCCCGTCACTTGGTTCGTCACCACGAAGACCACGCCGTACTGGTCGCTCAGGATGCGCATGCAGTTGGCCAGGTGGAACATGGCGCGCGAGCGCTCCGCCGCCTCCTGCCAATAGGCAAGCAACATAGACCAACAACGGTTAGCCACTTATAGCTGCAACAGCGGGTAGGTACGTAGGTAGATAATGCGCCTAACGCACCTTGACGGAGGACGTGGACTCCAGTCGGAACACGGCCGCCACCGAGTCCAGCACCACGAGCTTGGTGTTCTGCTCCGCCAACAGCCCCGGAAGTCGCGCTTGCTGCAGCAACAACCATTAAGCGTCAGCCTCACCTTCTTCTCCATCAATGGCAACAGTTTTGCAGCACCAGACCACCGACCAGCAGGTCCATGAGGTCATCCACCGTGTAGAGCTGCTCGACGAAGATGCCGTCCAGGAAGTCGCTGCCCGTGATCTTCGGAGCCTCTTCACCGCGCTTGCGCTTGGCGCCGACGCTCAGCGCAGCCCCGTAGCGCCGCGCGTACACCTGCGCCAGGTCGTGCAGGCGCTTGACGGAGCCCACGCCCTCCGTGCAGATGTAGCAGGCCGTGCCCTGCAGGCCCCCGAGCGAGCGCGGCAGACAGCACTGCAGCAGCAGCTGCAGACACAGCTGTGTCTTGCCGGCCGACGCCTCGCCGCAGACCTCCGTCATGATGCCGGAGCGGAAGCCGCCGGCCAGCAGCCGGTCGATGGAGTCGCAGCCCGAGGGCAGCACCACGGGCGGCGACAGCGCCAAGGCCGACGTCCCCGCCATACTTGACGATTGCAACTGGCACCCCTTCTAAGGCGCTACAACGAGGTGCTCGCGCCGTCCGTCGCGAGTCGGAAACCGGTACCGCGCCTCGCAGGAGCGTCGGCCGCCCTCAATGTGAACAATTGCGGCGCCTCAAAGGGAGTACCGGTATATACCGACAGTCGGTGCTATACCGGTATATGCTGTATGCTGTTCGAAAGGAACATAACGGTTGGCTGGCAGTTGGGAGCGGTGCGCCGCCAACAGTGGGGCTGCTCATTCGCGAAGTGGACCGTTCGGACGGAAGTGCCATGTAGTGTGTCGAAGAAGAAGAAGGAGCTGATGTCTATCCTGAGGGGCTGATATCTAATGATCGACAGCATACCCAAGTCCAGCACGCTGGCCTGATCCTTCCGTCACTGTTTGTCTCTATCTCGAGCGCGAATCCCGCGCGCGTGCAGTCAAATCTGCCACAGTTGTTGCGTCCTCCTCCATGGCCAACCATACTGCTATTGGCTGCACATAACAAGCGGTTGTTCATGATAGGAACCCTTCGCAAACTACCACCGTGTTGCAAGGAGCCAATTACAGCCCACACGCCCACAACAATACTTTAGTGTGCTTGAATGTGCATGTTGACCACCGTAGGCGGGTCCAAGACGTAAGGTCTTCTTGACCGGAGCTAGAAAATGTAAGCCTTCTCTAAGCAAGTGTAAGGAATAGAAGCTAAACCAGGCAGCGTGAAGGAATTGCCATCGATACCTCTGGCTGAGTTGATGCAGCATTATATAGTGCCATGGATTGACGAACGCATTTGAGTTTACGACCTGATCGAGGTCCGCCCACATGTACGGAGTCAGGAGATCCGAGGTTTGCTTACCTGCGGCCTCGACCTTGAGCTGTTCGACGTGCAAATGCACGGTGCCGTTGGCAGCGTCTCTGTCGGTGGCGTGGGCGTTGTTGACATCATGCAACAAAACTCTGCACGTCCACCGCTCTGCATCTTATTCTTTGGCGGATGTCGGTGTGCACCGTACGTCCACTTTGAGCCAGGCATTGTTTTACACGAACGAGCGATGCCTACAGCTTGTGGAGCGCTATGTTGCCCTCCTGCTTTCGCGGCGCCGCATCGATTCCGTGTGGCGCTCGAGTGAAGACGAACATGATTGAGCCGATCTGGTCCAGACTGGTACAATTGCAGCGCGTATGTTTGCCTGGAATGCTGCCGGCCGTGTCTCCTGCACCTCGGCGACATGCGTCGCTTGCCGCCCGAGCAGCAGTTCGGGTGGTCGGTGGTGGGATCGCAGCAGCAGCAGCAGAGAGCTGGCGGTCACGCTTCAACGAGCCGCATGGCGAGATCCAGGCAGGGCACGTGGCGCCGACCAAGTCAAGTGGGCCGAGGTGCGGTGTGCCATGCGTCCTCCCGCTCCAAGATATGACGGTTGATTGTGCTCTTCGTAGGCTTAGGTACGCGTTCAGCCCTCAAGTGGTCAGCTTGCAGCCCAGACCTCTTCAACTCAGCTCAGTGCCAACTTGCGGTCAACCTGCACCGCAATCCGTCGTGGCGTTTGAACAAGTCCCCAATAGCGCGCGCGAGATCTGCTACGCGGGCCACGGCATCCGATGATTCATCGCACTGGCCTCCCCGCCATGCACTGCAGTGCGGTGGCGCCGGCGACCTCACACGTGGCCGAAGGTGCACACACGCAGCGGATCCTTAATTCTCCGGCCGCATTGCGCTCCCGCGCCAAGAATCTGCTGATCCGTTAGCCGAAGGCCTGGCTGGAGTGCCGCAAATCAAACAAACCCATGTTCGGCCTCCCCGAAATGAGCCTCGCACACTGAGGCACCACACCGAGGAGGTGTTTACGACGTGGAGGCCCCCGTTACGAACGCCTTTGCCTCCCCATCCAGCGCGTGGACAACAGCAACTTGCCTTTTTGGCCCACATGTTTCTGCGATAGATCTGCTCGCGCTCGTCCGTCTTGTAGACTGCGCGGCAAATGGAAGTGTCGGCGCGCCTCGCGCCGGGATCTTCGGCAGCTATCGCACCTGTTTTCAAGCAGGGGCCCGCCTGTCGATCAGCGCGACCTGCAAACTTTTCACCGCGCTTTGCCATGCGGCCCGGAATACTGTATCCGCTTTTGCCCATGAACACTGCAGTGTCGACCATCGATATCGTATCGTGCACGTACTACACTGCGCAGCGCCGGCAGCATTATCACCACGAGTGCACCTGCAGGCCAACTCGCCACAAAGCAAGCATGGGCCTTGGGACAGTTATGACAGGCGCTGCCGGCATGGCGCGCGCCGCGCTTCGGGTCACCCAGTCGGCCGGCCAGCTGGCGAATCTCCATGGAAAACCGCCTCGGCCGCGGCCGTAGTGACGCCGACTCGGGGCGTCATTGCCATGCACCGGGTTGAGCTGGGCCGCCCGAATGGCGTTATAGCAACCATATGACGACAACACGACAGAAATTAAAGCAACCACAAGGCCTAAAGCAACCCTAAAACCAGCTGGCACCCGGTAATTTATTTTAAATGACGCGTAAATGACAGGAACACGTCGCCCTCGTCATGGTCTTGTTACATATCTCTAAATTTAGACACGTCGTGGTGGCGTCTAACTGATGTTCTATACACAGCAATACGTGAAACACATGTCAATATGTGTCCCACATTTTCAACACTTAGCAGATTTTGAGCGACAGCAAAAATGGAGAAGAAATCGCTGGCACATGAGCTGGTGCGCGCGAGAATCGCCGAGATTGCACTCCTCAAGAAGAAGCTGGATGAGCTTACCGAGCATCTGGAAAAGCTTCTGGCAGCGCAGCTACAAATCCAAGCCCCCGTCGAAGATCGCGAAGAGAACAGCTATGCGTTAGCAGCCGTCTTGGGCGATGAAGGGGCCGACCAAGGTGGTCTCACCGCAGAGGACGACGCTGTTTCCCTCGGTGTTCTACTGGAGCTGGTGGTGCGAAAAATGAAAGACTAATGCAGCATAGACTCTGTATTTAAAGGTAAATACAGACTGTGGTGTTTCTCAGAGCTGGTTCTGTAGCTGCTGATGAATCTGGCTAGCTTTAGCGACGTCGCGTTCACAGAGATGACGTTCTTGGGAGTAACACATGATGACCCACAGCATTTTCAATCGCATCACCTTGACGTCGTTCTTGGAAATTCTAGAAAGTTGCATCTGCAAGTTCCCCGTAAGATAGCTGTGGGCTTGGGCTACTACCATCACACCACAGCTAGCAAAATCAGGTTGTTGAGGGGCACAGATCCACTCAATCGGATCGAAGAAAAGATGGCCACGGGGGTCAGAAGCCTTGTGCCACCGCTCCACATAGCCACGAAGCCCCTCCTTTCCTTCATTTTCTTTGTCTTTCGGAATTCCAGTCCACACGATTTCCATTTCATGGTGATAGTCATCATCAATGAGCGGCTCGTACATGTAAACATGCA